GTTTGTGTGTGTAGTTCCTGATTTGGACTAGACCTTTAAAAAGCTTCAAAACAGTTAAAATCCATGGGAACTCCTTGGGCTATTATTAAATCCCATTGAAGTAGATAGTTTTTATATTATTGTTATTTTTATAATTGGCCCATTCCTTTCTCTATCATTTTCTTTTTTTCAGAGATGAAGTACTTAAAGTTAGTCTTATAAATTGATTTCTATCAAAATAAATATATATATTATTGCTCTGTATGAATAATGTGTTTTCACTGTTTCTGAGGAACCATATGATTTTAAATTAATTATAGATGAATTCTAAGTGGTCTAATCTTGTGACTTAGAAAGCCTTAAAAGAAAGAAAGAAAGGAAGAAAGAAAGAAAGAAAGAAAGCAAGAAAGCAAGAAAGGAAGGAAGGAAGGAAGGAAGGAAGGAAGGAAGGAAGGAAGGAAGGAAGGAAGGGAAAAGTAACCAGTTAAAGAAATAGGTCATAGTGTAAAGCAAAAAGTTTGACAGCTATGTGATGTGAATCTAATTTCTACATGCATGTTAGACACTGCTGATTTAAGTTTGAATTTGGCAGAATATTTATAATTTATTATATCAGACTTAATTATATATTATATTATATTTTAATACTATGTTTATTACATTGTTTTCAATGTTATGACCTCCTGATATACTATGTAAAAAGACTCTCTCTTCCACTGGGACACATTTAGATTTGTTTTTATTTTACTATTGATTTCTAAGACTGCAAAATAACACTTTTCTGTCACAGTGCATGCAGTCTCGCACAATTTCGCACAGTCTGCCAAAAGTTCCATCAAAGGCACTGGACTCCAAAAAACATGATCTAAAGTGTTTTGTTTCCCATCCATTTCTTTATAAGATTAATTGATCAGAGCACTCTAGTGGATCCGTGACTCCATTAATCAGACTGAAATTGACAGGAGCAATTCTGGACTTAGTTTTTGAGGGAGAATGTATCTATCTGTCAGCCAAAATATTGAAGAATTATCTTAATTTTTTATCTTTTAGGTTTAGATATATTTTGAAGGATGTTTTTAACTTTATACTCCTTTCCAGGGGGGTAGATACTCATGAAGTATTATAAATAGGATGTTACCTTTAATGGTAAAGCAGGGTTTATAAATAAACTTGCTTTTGAACCTTATTTGGCTACCAAGTAGGTTCTTCTAAAACATGAAATATTTTGTTTTATAAGATGTTTCTATTAAAAATATCAGTTGTTTAACAGCACCATTTTCTGCACTGAAGAGAAGAATGGAAATTATTAAATAGAAATAAGTTCTCAAGGGGTAAGCATTGCATGAATCACTGTCTCCACCTAGTGCTGGTTTTCAGGAATTAAGATTCCCAGAGTCCTTACTGATCTGTAAAGTCCTAATTTATGTTATGCACATGTACAGTCATTATAGCTGGGTCTGCTGGTGCCATTACAGTTAAGGGTCTGTCAGCTCTTCATTTATAAAACAGAATATTAAGAGGTCTATTGCTTTTACATAAAAGCTCACGCTGTGCTGGAACTCTGCAGTCTAATGGCCTTTGCTCTATGTGAGTGTTTATTAACAGTGCAAGTTGAACTTGACTCGTTCCTTTTAAAGACACCCTGATGGGTGGAAGTTACACAGGCACTGCCACCAGAGGATGAGTCTTTTCATCAACAGCCTGTCCTTTGCCTTATAGTAATCTCTATATGCATCAGACCAATAGACATCCAAAAACTCAATTGATGTGGCAGGCTCTGGATTTTCATAGCATTTATGTCAGACTCTCTGGCACACAAGAGAAGACTAATAATTTTGTCTACTCATGTGGGAGAAAACCAGGACACTGGTTTCAAAGAAGTCAAGAAAGTATTTTAAGAAAGAGGGGATGATCACACTGCTGTTAGTTCAGTCTGGAGAAATGACCTTTGATGTTGGTAATGTGAAAACCTGATGGCTCAGTTTCACTGGAGTTTCAGAGATGAAAATCTAACTCAAATTGGTTTATGGGAAAAAGGGAGGAAAAGGAAAGGAGATGAGTCTTTTAAAGAATTTACTGTAAAGGGACACAAAGAAATAAGGCAATAACTGGAGGTAGAGGTGGGATATAGAGAACGGGGTTTTTGTTTGGTTTGTTTTTAAAATATAAAGCTATCAGACATTATACAAATGAAGAGTAGGAAATGTAATACTTCTAAATGAGAGAGGACAGGGATCAAGGCACAAGCAGAAGTGTTGGCCTTAGTCAGAACACAGATAGCTTTACAGTCGTAGGAGTCAGGGTCTATATGTTGTTAAAGAGCAGGTCTTTCCTGCCACCACCAGCTCTTGGTGTACAGGCCTCCAGAATTTTCAGCAAGCTTATGGGAAACCTGGGCCCTTGAACATGAGATTGAACACTGCAGGTGGTTCTGATGAGGCTGAGCCAGCTCAGAAAACTTTCAAGCCCATCATGTAGGGAATTATGGGTGATGGACTGCTCCTATATTCTCATCCATTGCTCAGTGATTTATTACATTAATAAATGTCCATCATTTTATGTCTGAACTATAGTGATTATTGTCTTCACATAATGTTAAATTTTATTGGCTAACATTGATTTAGAAATTTTACATCTTTAATTTTAAATAAGATTGCTGTGCCACTTCTTAAATTACCAGTAACTGGCTTTATAGTGAAGCCTATCTCCCCATTCATGAAATGAATTAGCTAGGTTTTTGTATTTTTATGCTCTAGAATATTTTATATAGCATGAAAGTAATCTGTTTCATGACCTATAAAGTTATGTGAACAAGGACATGTTTTCTGTTTTATATTTAAAATGTATGAGGTGTGTTTTTTTAAATATTCATTTATCAGAGATTAGCTCAATTTTTCTATTTGGTTTGTATTATATTTTTTTCATCTAGACTTATATGCAAAAGATTTTCTATTTTATTTATTTCAACATTTCTATATCAGTTTTCTGCAGTCCTATTTTCTAAATGATTTATTTCTATTTAAATATTATTTCCTTTCATCTCTTTTCCATGGGATAATTATATAGATTTAAAATAAAGCCAATTAAATGCTTTATTAATTTCCCTTCTCTAGTTCTTAATAAATATGCATTTAACATTATGAATTAAACTTTGACTATAATTCTAGATGTATCTTTTAAGTTTTCATGACTGTTATTTTTGTTGCTTCTAAATAGGTATTGATGATTGTGATTTTTTTTCCTATCTGATATAATAGTATTCTTAGAGGGAGAATGTTTTTTAAAAATTATCTGGTGATTAAAATTTGTATTTTTCTTTACATCTAATTTTATTCTATCATTTGCCACAAAGAGTGGCTTATTCAATTTTCATTTTAAAACTGCATTAAAATTTACTTTGTTAGTGGCAAATATTACAAATGTTCTAAGAATTGTTAAGAAAGACATATTTTCTTTTATAGATTACAATTTATGTAAAAATAGTTATACATTTATTAGTTATAACAATCAGATATTTTATATCTTTATTTGTCACTTTAAAAATATTTGTATAGTAGATTGTAATATGTTGTCTATCTTGGTTTCTTTTTGAATGTCTAAAAAGTTTTGCTTGATTTTTTCTATGTTAGTATTGTTATTTATGACATCATTTTTATAAAATGATTTTGTTATTCTAATTTGCCTTTGTCTCAAATTCGAATGTCAGTTATGACTGCCAATTTTTCCTGATTTTTAAACATTTACTTTTTTATTTTAATACTAGAGGCCCGGTGCACGAAAATTTGTGCACTCGGGGGTAGGGGGTTCCTCAGCCCGGCCTGTGCCCTCTGGCAGTCTGGGATCCCTCGGGGGATGACCACTTGCTGGCTTAGGCCTGCTCCCCGAGGAATTGGGCCTAAGATGGCAATCAGACATCCCTCTGGCAGCCTGGCAGCCCTCGGGGGATGTCCACTTGCCAGCAGGGAGCAGACCTAAGCTGCAGTCGGACATCCTTAGTGCTGCTGAGGAGGCAGGAGAGGCTCCCACCACCACCACCACTGTACTGGCAGCCATCAGCCTGGCTTGTGGCTGAGCAGAGCTCCCCACTGTGAGAGCACACTGACCACCAGAGGGCAGCTCCTGCATTGAGCGTCTGCCCCCTGGTGGTCAGTGTGTGTCATAGTGACCAGTCACTCCCAGTCTTTCTGCTGTTAGTGTCAGTTTGCATATTACCCTTTTACTATATAGGATAGAGGCCTGGTGCATGGGTGGGGGCTGGCTGGTTTGCCCTGGAGGGTGTCCCGGATCAGGGTGGGTGTCCCGCTTGGGTGCCTGGCCAGCCTGGGTGAGGGGATGATGGCTGTTTGCAGCTGGTCACACCCCCTTCAGGGTGGGGGTCCCCACTGGGGTGAGGGGCTGAGGGCCATTTTCAGGCTGGCGGGTGACTGAAGCTCCCAGCCTCTTTTGTTTTTCTTTTTTTTTTATTCTGGGATTTATTCACCTTCTATAGCTGTCACTGGAGCTGAGAGCTGGCTCCAGCTCTGAGGCTGTGGCTGACTGAAAGCAGGTATCTGGGTTTGTTTAGCTTCTATAATTGAAACTCTGTTGCCATCACTGGCGCTCTAAGCTCTGAGCCCACTGGCAGCTGAAAGCAGGTATCTGGGTTTGTTTAGCTTCTATAATTGCAACATTGTTGCATCTGGAGCTCAGAGCTGGGCTGTGGCAGGTGGGGAACCTTGGCTTCCTCCATCACTGGAGCAAGCAAGCCTCATGTTCGCTTCAGCTGCGTGGCTGCCGGCCGCCATCTTTGTTGGCAGTTAATTTGCATATCTCGCTGATTAGCCAATGGGAAGGGTAGCGAAGTTATGGTTAATTACCATGTTTCTCTATTATTAGATAGGATTACTTTTATTTGTGTCTCTTGTACAGTCTCAGATTTGGGTCTTTAATTGTTCACCTATTTCATAATAGTCCTCAATAAATATTTTGAAGTTGTAGTTGGTAACCTTGCTATATAACTCTTGTCTTTTATTTTGTTTTAGGTGGGCCATAAAACATGCAGGGACCAGTAAGCCAGGCCAGTGGAAACATTCCAGAGTCGAAAATCCTCTCTGGAATAAGCTTACCTACATGTGGCCAGTCCTTCCCAGCGGCCAACTTAACGAGGTTGTATTGTAGTAGAAGATGTGTTTGTTGAGACTTAAGTTTTAGGGCCCAGTCAATGTTATAACAATTACCATGCAAGTTTTCGAATTCGTAGTTGTTCGGTGCAAAAGATCAATTCATTCTGTTGTTCTATTAATTGGTAATTTGCATTTAAATTATCCATTATGGAGATGAATTTATCTATGTTTTCTTGTATTCTGTTAAATTTTACTTTATATATTCTGATATTTAGTTCTTAGAAACACACATGTTCAGAAATATTGTATCTCTATGGAGAATTGCTATTTTATCATCAGGTAAACTCTCTTGAGCCCTAGTGAAAGTCTCAGTTTTCTAATACTAATAGAAATATTTCAGTTTTTTTATTTGCCTAGTATATCTTATTTGTATATTTTTATATTTAGGGGGTCTCTAATAATCAGCATATACTTCATTTTTTAAATGACCTGACAGTCTTTATCTCTACATAAGGACTTGGTTATTATTATTATTATTATTATTATTATTATTATTAAATATTTTTATTGATTTCAGAGAGGCAGGGAGAGGGAGAGAGAGCTAGAAACATCAATGATGAGAGAGAATCATTGATTGGCTGCTTCCTGCACACCCCTGAGCCCGCAACCCAGGTATGTGCCCTGTCTGGGAATCAAACCATGACCACCTAGTTCATAGGTCGACACTCAACCACTGAGCCACTCCAGCTGGGCCGACCCTTTTTATTTATTGCAATGACGGATATATTTAGATTATTATTTGTTTTGTTTTTTTCTGTGTTATTTTTTCTCCATTCTTATTTTTTGATTGAGTTTTCTTCTTATATTTTTCTCATCTACTAGTTTGGAAATTATATCATCTATTTCCATTCTTTATTTTTATTACTATGAGCATTTTAACTTGCCTATATAAATGTTCAAAATCTAAACTTAACAAATATATCTACTTTTCTCTCAAATAATTGAGAACATTATGATATTTTAACATCAGTGATTTGATTTATAACTTATATGCTATTATTGTCATGTATTTTAATTTTATATTCTTAAAATTTTCTATAAGACATTAACATTATTGTATGCAGATAATACTTACTTAGATTTACCCCAAAGTTTTTTCTTTCTCCTTATAAATTCCTCTTACATCTTAGTCCTTCCAACCTTGGTTACTTTCCTTTTACTTAGCATATCCTTCTTTTAGTTATTGTAGCAAACTTCGTTTCTTCTTATCTGAAAATGTCTTTATTTTGCCCTCATCCATGAAAGATTTCTCCACTTAGCAAACTGAAGATATCACCACTGACTTCTACCTCCCTTTGTTGTTATTGAGGAGTCAGCTATCACTCTAAATATTATTCCCGACAGCTTTTAAAACCTTCCCTTTTCTTCAATACTTAGTTTCACCATAATATGCATGAGGGTCTCCTATTAGACTTTCCACCCTTCACGCGCCCTGGAAATCCTCTCCTGTGCCCTTCCCCTGCGAGATCATGGAAGTGGAAGTTCACTGGAGTTTGGAAAATTCCCTCAAGATAAAATCCAGTTTCAGCACTCTGTTTACCTCTCTGGGTCTCTAGTGTGTCTTGCTTTATCGCTAGATCAATGTTATGTTCTAAAATATTTTCTAAAGTATTCTATCCTGATTTTTCTTAGTTGCTGTCATATTTTCTGGTTTCAACCAAGTTTTCTTTCTTTGCCCTGAAATTACAATTTTCTATTTAATCAATGAGTGTCAGTTTTTAGGGAAGGACTGATGGGATCTGAAACCAAGAAGAGTTGCTTAGGGCCCCAAAGATGCCCACATATTTGGACTGCAGTGAAGCAACAGTCTAGAAAGCTGAGTTTTGTTGAAAGAGAAGGAAATTCTTCAAAATGCCAGAAGCTGTGGGTTGGGTAGCCTGAGCAAGGGGCTAGGTGAATTATGTGTCTAAGATTCAGGGTTTGGAGCAATAGTGAAAGCCAGGGTGGAGGCCAGGTGGAAGGGTAGCACAGCGAAACCAAGGGACCCAGCATTAGACCAAAGAAGAAAAAAGAATTGTGCTAATTATACATTTTTCTTCAGAGGTTCAGGAAGGGCAGAGGCTAAAACCCAGGAAACAGGGAGGATAACAGGATAACTTGCTCCTCACTGGTGGTGAGCAGGTGCCAGTAGGTTGCCCAGTGGCTGAAGAGGCACATCATTAGGGGCCTCCAAGGATCCAGAACAACTACCCACATATAGACCATGAACCCCTTTACTCAATGGTATACAGTTTATTGAACTTTCATCTATACCCAGAAACCACAGTGAGGAAGGGAAAAGGAGAGATAGATCGTTGAAAGGAAGCAACAGTTCTGGTAAGAAGTTTGCATGTTCAATTTGATTGAATATGTATCCAAAAGTACAGAGCTAAAAAACAAACGAGCAAAAGAGACTTTTCCAACTTGGCAGAAACTGGGACACCTCTAATTGGACTATCAAGTTTCCCACCCACTCAGTGGGATGGGGGGAGGTCAGCGGTGCCTCAGAAGTAGTGTGCTTTCTCATATAGGGGAAGAGAGAACATGATAATGACTGCAAAGGTAACAGATATTGTGCTTATATATTTCAGTATACAAGTAAGTAATTTAGTTACTTAATGAACTTAAACAATGAGTGGTAATTATATTAGGAAAGCTAAGTTAACCAGGTTCCTTTTAACATTTACTTTTTTAAAAATAAAACTTTTGCCAATAGTCTGGGATTTGACAGTTATATGATCTGAAGGTTGAAAATGGACTCCTAAGTTCTCTGGCCATTCAAAGAGAACAACAGCTTTTGGGCAGAGTGAATAAGAAGTTGGCCCTCACTTGTAAACCGAAGGGAAAGGATTAAGGCACTAAATCAGCTAAAGTGAGAAAAATTGACCATGTGTTGCAAAATGACTCAGCCTAAGAGTCCTGTTATCTCTTGAAATATTTGAGAAAGAGAGGAAAATACTTATCAAGCAGGGAACTCAGTTTTCATTCAAATTAAATGTGATCCATTTCACTTAAAATCTGGATCTACCTTATCTGAACCACATTTTCTTCAATTCTGTTGCCACATAATCTATTTGTGAAGCAAAAAGATACTTTTATTAGTGTATTATTAAATACAATAAATATTTTGCTTGGAAAAGACTTTACATTTAAGTAAACTGCAATTAGAAATGTGACATATTATGGGATTCAGAACACTTTGGTCACTGTAGGCATATGTATTAATTTTATTGTAGGTTTAATATTCCAACTTTACTACTTATCTAATCATTATTTATTAGATATGTAGGCAATGCAGGTAGAGTAAGGAAGGAGGTAGACATGGCCTCTACCCTCATGGAGCTTACAGTTTAAACAATATAGGCTAGGTGCCACAAGGGAAGGAATTGGAAAGGAAGAAGGCAGAGTTGGTGAATAGAAGCCAAAGAAGGAAGAAAGAAGAAACTCAAATAAAAAGTTTGGTGTCCCAGAAACAAGGCTATTTGTTCATTCAGTTATAAGGTCAGTATGAGGGAAGCTAGCCAGGCTGATTGAATGAGCCTGAAAATTAAGTCCAAATACGGAATCTAAGAAAACCATCCAAGAAACACTATCCTGAGTGAGACTCAAGTTCTGTTCATTCTTGGATAAGAACTTTTAAAATAGAATAAAAACCAAGGGAAGTATGGACAACAGGAATTATTTTTGTGGAGACTCAGACTACATTAATGCCAAACTGTTTACCTCTCAGTGGTGACAGCTGGTCTGAGAACTGATTTCATGCTCTTCTTGGTTAACTATTAATCATCCTAAAAGGCAAATGATACTGTTTTCTGAGTGAATGGCATGTTGTATGTCTTAGGTACCAGTATTTTTAAAATATGCCCAAACTCCCTAAAAACAAGATTAATGAATTATTTTGATTTAGTCTGTGATGAAGTTCACTGGAATAATTTCCAGGAACTCAAGTTATTTTCTCACCTTTTGGGGGAAATGTTATAAATTGAGAAGTTCTACTTCTAACCATTTAAAGGAAAGGAGCAATGTATATTCAGATTCCAGAATGAAATCATTATGAGGGGCACATGTTAAAAAAAAAGAAAGTTGAAAGCACACATTTGATTAATCTGTTAAAAGATTATGATAATTAACTCTAATTATGAAGGGCAAGAAAGGATATGTGAAAAGGCCCAAGAGAGAAAATTAAAGAATCTATTTGTTTATTAATAGTAAATAGATGAAGGAAGGCCAATTTGACTAAGAATTTAGGTCATTGGTTAAGAGCTGAATTCAAAGAGGCCTTTGGTTATGAGAGATGAAAAAGAAAAGGCAGAACTGCCCGTGTAAGGAAGCACCATGGCCCAGCAAGGCCTCCTGACAATGCAGCTGTGCCTTGCAGTAGTATGAACAGAGAGAGAACCACTAAACAATGAATGGATACATGAGCATTCCAACAGAGGGCGAGGAAATAGCACCCCAGTCCGGTTAATCCATGTTTTCTTGTTGTCCTTCTTATCCTGACACTATATTTCTCTATTTCTATGAAGTACCAAGTAAAAGTTCCCTAAACACTAGATCAAGGTTTACAGTAGCTGAAAGAAAGAACTACCAGTGATACAGCATACATTTGGAAAGTTTTGAAACCCATAATAATCTTTTGATTGGGTTTCTGTAATATCTTATATTAAAAAGAGAAGGCCTCGGGCTTCCTTCATCTGGCTGGAAAGCAAAGGATGCCATCTGAAGTCAGCGATGCCACAGTGGAGCTGAAACCAATGTTGGCATGGTTACCACTTGCCCTGAGACAAGTGTAGGAAGTGAAAGGACCTACAAATAACTAGTAGCGGAGACGGCACACTTCTGATAAGTTCATCAGAATGATAGCATGAGTGGATATTGAAAAAAAATCTTAGTTCTAGATCCTAACTCTATGAACTGACTTCTCACGGACTCATTTTAAGAAAGAACCTGTTTCTCTTGCCTTTCCCTTCCATGGTTCAGAAAAAAAGAGAGGAGGAAATATTAATGACTTTATACCAAGGCTTCAATGTGACAGGTTTTAATAAGAAGACTGTTTTCCTCTCTCCCACCTATCCAACCCTGACTTCATGTCTAAAATGTTGATTTTCTCAGAATTGCTTAATATCTTTGTTGTAGAAGAATTACAGGTCAATCCTGAACTTATTTCTTGAAAAGTTATGCAACGCCACTCCTCCACCATTCCACATGCTAAGTATAACCTTGGTACAAAGAACAGCTTCAAATGAAAATATACAATGAGTTTGTCATAACCTTTTGTGTTTCTTCTCAGTAACAAGAGTAAGGAAAAGTGACCCCTTGTTGCTCCATTCATAATAATAGACACATATCTGAATAAACACGTTGTCTGCCCTTTTGCATTTAAATTCCATACAGGCAACAGGTTCTCAGTGAAGGTCAGGAGTACATTACAACTTCATTAGCTCAAATTTTTCTTGCTTACAAGTGTGATAAGTTAGCCTCATTGTATATCACTATTATAAATACATGTACATTTATATTAAAAATATAAAGGAAAAAACACTCTACTCATGAGTTTTTAACATTTATTTATACTGCTTTTCTCCTAATTGCATGCAATTAATGTTATTTACTTATTCATCTCACAAATTAGGGCATTATAATTAGATGCTGTTTCAGAATATTTAATCACAACTTTCAGATATTGTTTATAATATATTTTCAACACATTTTTCTGAACTATGTGATTGTTCAGTATAACTGCAAGATCCTAACAATTTTTTTTCAAGGGAATATGTTAGTAAATTGTTACTTTTTGTCCAGGCTTTTTAAAAATGATCTCCCCTTTCATAAACTAAAGACCAGATGCCTTGGTCCGCATTGGTCTGACATGCCAGCACACCTCTCCAACCCACAGGTGTGTTTATCTTGGTCATGTCAGTGGGAAACAGCCTGGACACTAGGGCCCCCTCTGTAGTGGTTATCTGAGTATTTTGCCTGCTCAGCATGACTTGCCCCTTCTTTGGGTATTTGTAACCCTTTAGGAAATTACTTAACCTGCTACAAAGTATTTATATCCCAAACAGGCTTTTAAAGACTAACCAAACTGATTCTTAAATGTGCGTCAAATAGCAAAAGGCCAACAAGAACCAATTTCCAAAGAAGATTAACAAGGTGGGGGTATTTGCCCTCCCAAATATCAAGACTTACCAAATATAATCAAGGCAGCATGGTACTGTACTGGGATAGATAAACTGACAAATTGAAGAGAGTAAAACACACAGAAACAGACCCATACTTATATGGAATTGTGATATTTTACAAGATGGTTACAGCAGATTAATAGGGATTTAATTGCTGCCAGGACAGTTGTTTATTCAGATAGAAAAAAGAGAAAGAAAAGACTTGGACCTTGTCTAACATCACCTCTGATCATCCCTTTCCTCATTTTCTCTTCCTCTGCAAACCTCCATTTCTGTGAGTGGGAATACCCAGTCGCCTAAGCTACAAACCTGGGAGCCATCCTTACTTCCTTTTATTTCCCCAAACATCATGTTCTGTTAATCCTCAACCTGATACATACACTGCCCATCGTCTTACCCTCCTTTACTGCACTAACTCCTGCTGAGGCTTCAGGTCTGTTACAGGACGTTTCTGAGTTCGGTTCTTCTCCATGTGGTCCCACCACACCTCATAATACCCTCTTGCTATTATACTTACACTACTTAATTGCCAGTTTATTTCTAGCTAAGTTTCTGAGCACCCACTAGAAATTGCTCAGGGAAGAGTATCCTATCTTGTTTATAGTGTTATTTAATGTTAATATTTTAAGTTTATTTTTTATTGATGTTATTACAGATGTCCCCTATTTTCCCCCACTCCCCTTCCACCCAACCTCCACCCCACCCCAGGCCTTCACCCCTCTATTGTCTGTGTCCATGGGCTATGCATATATGTATATAAGTTCTTTGGTTAATCTCTTTCCCCCCCCCCCATTAGATTCCAGTCTCTTCCATGCTTCTATGTCTCTGGATCTATTTTGTTCATCAGTTTATTTTGTTCATTAGATTCCACATATAAGTGAGATCGTGTGATACTTGTTTTTTTTCTGACTGGCTTATTTCACTCAGCATAGTACTCTCCATGTTATTTCCAGTGTCTAAGCACTGGACTATAGTAAACAATATTTGGATAATGCATGAATTAATAAATAAATGTATATATGAATAAATAAATACAAATTAACTGAATTCTACAAATGAAACATCTGAAATTTAAATTTCATCATCTTGCTATTTTTTGGAGTGTTCCCCAAATATATTCTTCTTTGCCAAAAAGGTCTAGTTTAAGATAATATTATTTCAGGTTGTAAAACCACTTTTCACACATTCTAACTTTCCTCATATTAAAGATATTTCACACATGAGCAAAAACATTCCAAGTTAATTCAGTTCTATTTTACTAGAACGATGTTTCTCTGAAAGGGAATAAATCTTCCTTGTTGTAACACAACATAGATTCGACATACACTTAAAAAATTACTATCCTTCCTCTTTATTCACACAAAACACTAATTAGACTTGAATAAAAGATTAAAAGTATCAGTATTGTGTTACATTTTTTTATAACTTAAAGTAACTCTCTTATTTATTATCAATTTTTTGTCCTCTCTTTCTGAAGGAGTTTGATTGGCCAATAGAAGGACTGCTTATTCCAAACAGTCCTTCCATGAAGAAACCCATCTGTAAGTCACCAGAGCACGATGTGCCCGTAAGACTCAGAGTTCTGCGGAATGGAGACAAGAATAAAAACAGAGCACTTGTTATAATGAGTCCAGACATATCACCTGGGCGGAAAATGCAGTAAGGACAGCTTGTTCAGTTTTCTCATTAAGTACATTTTCTAATTTCTACAGATTTTTGTCTTCTTGCTGACCGATGTTTTTCTGAGAGAATTCTGTGTTTAATTTTTAAAAAGGGCTCCCATGTTGACATTTAGAGATGAAAATAGATGTTCAGATTTATTTAGTTTCTATGTCAGGAAATATTTAAACTCTTGATTTAGGCTAGGCATGGGATAAAATGATGAGTTAGAAATGAATAGTTCTGGAAAAAAATTTTATATCAATACCTATTTTGAATTAACAATTGTTTTAGTTTTATTAATTTGAAATAATTCATTTGAAATTGCTTAAATATATTTTTACAATTCCTTATTAAAATCACTGTATACAAATGTTTACATTTATAGCTTTGGCATATTTAACAAATAAATATAGTTCTCAAAATATAACTTTATATAATTTTATATCCTTGACTTGGAATAACATTTTAAAAGTTCATCATAGAAAAGCATTGATCTGCACTTTAGTTGATGTTATGAGATTTGAATAAAATTTTCTCAAATAGCCAATATTTCTCCAGCATTGGAGAAAAATCGCCTGCTATATTTTCTTTATATTTTCTGACAAAAGGAATCATAGGTCAGCACAAAGCTCTGATATAAAGAATGAGTTAAACACATTGTTTCTCATATGATTAGCAGTGATATTACCTCTTGACCTTTCTTTTGAGATGTTTAGAATAGTTGAGGCTGCTGATAATAGTTTAATATAACTTTCTTCACATTGATTAAATATACTTCATACATCGCTGAACAATGAGTAATATTCAGATCGGCTGTCCACTGAACTGCCTTGTAAAGATGATAAAGTAAAAAATTAATCTTCAAAGTAAAGTCAAGCCTGAAATTGAAATCTTTGACGCATACATTTCATAATTAGCTCATTCTGCTCCATGTAAAATGTAAGGGTAATGCCCTTAAAGTAGGATATGACTTTTTTTTAGCATGCAAAGTTAAATAATTTTTGTCTCTTCCTACATTTCTTCCTTTCTTATTCTATATCTTTAACTGTGGCTCAAAATTGTATACAGATGTGGTCTTTTCTCATTAACGTTTAAGTGGCATAACTCAGTAAGGTAACCCAAACATAATTTGAGAGATTTGTTCACTTGGACAGCTATTCTAGAGAGAGTCTGTGAAATTCTGCTGTCCTTGTTCATGGACCAGTGTGTCCTGGTTAATCAAATGTCCACTTTGTTCACTGCATGAATTAATTATTCCCAAATAATTAAAATACACCAGCATACACTTGACTCTAAAACTCGACTAAATATGTTTAATTTATCTTGGCTGATTCAGAAAGTTCTCTACAGCATCATCAATAGCATTTCCCCCCAGAGCTGTATGTAAGTCCTGGTAACAGAGAGATTCAATGGAAAGGGATTTGGCTGGCATTACAGGGAGGCTGTGTTGTCCAGCTCCAGTGGCCACTGTTTTCATTGTATTCGATGTGAATGGCCCCCCAGAGTTGTGCAAGGTGGAAGCCTTGCTGTGCTACTTTTAATGTATCCAAGTCAGAATAAATAAATGCAAATGAGATGTCGGGGCAAATTGCTCGCATTATCCTGAAACTTATTCATAAAAAGAAAGAGGGTTGAGCTATTTCATGTCTTTAAAAGCAAACTCGGGGTATAGATGAAATATAGATCCATTTTAACCAAATTCTGCTTCAATCACATGGTCTCCTTTATTATTTAATAATTCACTCTTGACAGTTTGAGGAGCGTTTGTTCTTGTTTTTTTGATTCCTCCATCTGCAAAGCCAAAGAAAGATCAAGTAGCATTTGTTCATTACTTAGTTGAAGGTTATCTTAGTAACAGAATCTTGGCAAATAGTCTTGATGATGGTTGTCAGATTTATATAAATCATTGTGATCTCTGTGTCACAGGAGAATTTCATCTCTTAGAACTATAAACAAAGTTAAACAAAGAAAAAAATTTAAGTGATATTTTAAAGAATTGTAAAAGGAAAGGCTCAATTTGATTTTATAAAGTAAAATTTTATATGTTAGATAATTTCAATGAGTAAGTTATTAGTAAGTTATAATCCCTGGACTCACTCAAGCTCCTTAGTATAGCTTTTATGTCCTTTATGACCTATCTCTGCTCATTTCTCTAGCTGCATCTCTTATCAACATTCCCCCCAATTTTCCACTTTTAAACCCCCTCCATTCCCCAACACCTTCCATCTGCCTTAATAATGAAGGTCTTCTGAGAACGAGTTTGTACTTCATCGCTAGGTGTTGGCTCTGAATTCCACACTTCCCTCCCCATCCCTGAGTTAGCTATGTACTTCCTTGCTTTCCACCCCCATAGCTCCTATCATTCTGTGATTATCCGTTTATGACTCCATCCAGGAGCTAGAAAACCAGGATAACACACTATTCGTCCATATATGTTCTCACTGCTATGGTGTGGCTATGGAACAGTGTGTCCTGATCAGTTGACTATTAAGTCACTTTATTCACCACATGGCTTAGGGAAGCCAACAGCCCCTAAATCAGTGCTTAATAAAATTAATAAATAAATTAATGGTTAATTATATTTGATTACTATTTTAATGAATGAACAACTACATTTCACCACTATTTCTTTCATTTAATAGAATGTAGAGATTTTTTAAATACACAAAATAATTTTCTAACTTGGAAGTTTGAAGAGATGTATATTACAATTAAACATCCTTTTTCTGTGATCATCATTATCTATTTTTCAGTTTAACAATTTTTAGGTTTGGATTGATTGCCTAGCATATATTAATAAACATATGAACATACACAACATATGAATAAAATATCCCAGGAAAAATAAATGTCATCTCTGCATTTTCTTTAAACTTGAAAAATTCACATCTCTGAGAGATCAGCATTAATAAAGAGGATTAAAATATTGAAAATTCATTTTCTTATATAAGTTACTCATAGTATAAATGTTCATGAAGTTTAATATTTAATTGTGGTAGTTTTTGCAACCCTATATTTTCAAAAACAGGCAGATTATTTTAGAGCAAATTATTATAAATTAAAACCTCAAGGTTTTTTCACATATTTAAACAAGTTGAATATAACTGGCAATACATACTGACATATCAATCAAATCTTGGATCATTTGTTTCAGAAATGTTGACACTGAGATGAAAGAGAATGTGAAAAAGTATGTGACTAAATATTCTAAAACGAAAACAAAGCAGACTGAATATCATCAACTTTTGGAGAGGTAAGTACTTATTATCCTAAATGCAATGGTATTTTCCATTCACATGCCTGAATGATTATGTGTTACACAGAACACAACATACATATGTACCTATATAAGAAAACAGTTGTTAATATAATAATTTTAGAATTTTTAACACATAGAAATACATTAACTGTGTGAGTTCATGATACCAATGGTAATTAATACATTTTCCCCAAATTTCAAGGCAATTTCCCCTAGCTTTTGAACTATCAACTTTGCAAATATAAATTATACCCATTTAAGAAATATATTTCATAGTTTTACAGCACTTTTCTTTGGTTTATATTTGAATTGAGGGTAGGGTAGTGAGCTAATTTAAAACCATTTTTATATGTCACTAACATATTTGTGAAATGTTGTAATTTTCTTTTGATCAAGATGTTCCTACCAAAATAAAAATTATTCCCACAGAACTTGATAACTTTTCAAGGTTGACCACTTAAACTTTTTTGCAAAATATGTCTTGTTGAATTTAAAGAGGCAGTCTTACTGAATTTAAGGGAACTTATGTTATCCTTTAGTTATTTAATAACTAGAGGGCTGATTCACGAAATTCGTGCAAGAGTAGGCCTTCTTTCCCCCGGCTGCCGGCACCAGCTTCCCTCTGGCACCCGGGACCCGGGCTTCCCTCGCAGTGGGAGGCCCTGCCCACCCGCTGCAGCCCATCGGTCAGTGGCCTGGGCCTCCCTCTGCAGGGTGATCATGGGGCGATGGCCAGCCCCTGACCAATCGCATTGCACCCACCTTGGTTGGCCCGGCACCAGTGGGTGTCAAGCATGGTCCCGGATGGTCATCCGGATGGTTGTTCCGCTGTTCAGCCATTCGGTCGATTTGCATATTACACTTTTATTATATAGGATTCACACAAGACAGTTTTGAGAGTCTTTGTTGTTATTGGTGGTAGTTTTTCCATCTACAAAGCCTAAGAAAGATCTAATAGCATAACAGCCCATTTAAAAATAATTGATACAGAATATTTTTGTTGATACCTAATGTTGTGGAAACATGGAATATTGGAAAGACCATTGGATTAAGAATAAAAGAATTGATTTTAATCTCAGATTTGCCATTAACTAGCTGGAAAACTTCAGCAAAGCACTGCCTTTCTCAGTCTTATTTTCCTTTGTTAAACAGGAGAGTTGAATGAGAAGCTAAGAAGAAGGCAAAAAAGAATTTAATTATTTTAAATACCTGTTTTATTCATATCATATGTATCAACCAATCTTAGATATTCTGCAGGAGATTTTTTTTTTAAAGAGCAAGACATTCCTTGTTCTCAGGAAACTCCTAACTTGTTGGGAAGAGAGTTTGCTTGTTGAAATATCCCTAGATGGTTTGGCTCAGTGGATAGAGTGTCGGCCTAAGGACTAAAGTGTCCTAGGTTCGATTCCAATCAAGGGCACATGCCTGGGTTATGGGCTTGATCCTCAGTAGGGGGCATATAGGAGGCAGCTGATCATTGATTCTTTCTCATCATTGATGTTTCTATCTCTCTCTCCTTCCTTCCTCTCTGAAATGAATATATGAAAGAAACAGTCAGAAAGGGCAGCTTAAATGGTACAAAAGTGAAAATGATCATAGGATCACTTTATCTATAACCAGGAAGAAGAGAGAACCTTGTGAAGGGTAGCCATCATGAAAGGCCATAAGGAGAGGAGAGAATATGAGAGAGATATAAAAATCTAATCTAATAAAAGACAAACATGCAAATCAACCATACCTTCACTACACCTTAAGCCATGCCCACCAGCCAATCAGAGCAACGATATGCAAATTAACCCAACCAAGATGGCGGCCGGCAGCCACGGAGCTGGAGCGAGCAGGAAGCTTGTTTGCCCCAGTGATGGAGGAAGCCAAGCTTCCTGTCTGCTGCGGCCAGCTCTGAGCTCCACTGAAGGCAACAAAGTTTCAATTATAGAAGGTAAATAAATGCCAGAGTAAAAAAAGAAAAGAAAAAAAAAAAGAGGCTGGGAGCTTCCATCGCCGGGGGGCTTGGCCAGCCTGAAGACAGCCCTCAGCCCCTCACCCAGACTGGCCAGGCAACCCAGTGGGGACCCCCCACCCTAAAGAGGGTGTGGCCAGCCTGAAAACAGCCATCAGCCCCTCACCCAGGCTGGCCAGGGACCCCAGTGGGGACCCCCACCCTGAAGGGGGTGTGACCAGCTGAAAACAGCCATTAGCCCCTCACCCAGGCTGGCCAGGCACCCCAGCGGGACCCCCACTCTGATCCGGGACACCCTTCAGGGCAAACCAGCCGACCCCCACCCATGCACCAGGCCTCTATCCTATATAATAAAAGGGTAATATGCAAACTGACCCTAACAGCAGAAGGACTGGGAATGACTGGTTACTATGACACACACTGACCACCAGGGGGCAAACGCTCAATGCAGGATCTGCCCCCTGGTGGTCAGTGCACTCCCACAGGGGGATCTCTGCTCAGCCACAAGCCAGGCTAATGGCTGCCAGTACAGTGGTGGTGGTGGGAGCCTCTCCCGCCTCCTCAGCATCACTAAGGATGTCAGACTGCAGCTTAGGCCTGCTCCCTGCTGGCAAGTGGACATCTCCTGAGGGCTGCCGGGCTGCCAGAGAATGTCTGATTGCCAGCTTAGGCCCAATCCCCCAGGGAGCGGGCCTAAGCAAGCAGGTGGTCATCCCCTGAGGGGTCCCAGACTGCGAGGGGGCATAGGCCGGGCTGAGGAACCCCCCCACCCCCCAAAGTGCACAAATTTTTGTGCACCGGGCCTCTAGTAAAGATATATAAAGCAAGAAGATAAAGAAGAAAACTCATACTCTCAGCTTTCTGAATATTTTGTTATTGTTTTAAATAACAGGGAGAATAAGGTGGGGCTCCTGGAGGGAATCCTCACAAGTGACTGGAGGAAGTCTTCACTATTGTGGAACTGGAGACACAGTTCCTACCTTCTCCTCCTGCCCTTCGCTCTCAGGGCATCTGATGCTCCTCATCCCATTCAGTTTGAGAAAGCAAAGTGAAAAGATAAGACTCTACTTTTCTGGACTCTGTAAATCCAAGCAGGCTACGTTATCACCCATCCTCGCTCCTGGTGTGAGAGTCAAAGGACTTGATTCCTAAGGCCTTTGCCTGCATGTAACAGAGAAATCCTGGCCTGCTTGCTGGGCAGCCCAGCCTATCTACTCACTTTGTAGATCTAATATCTTATTATTTCATGATGATATCCTCTCAGAAGGCCATGTGAGGTAGTAAAAGACCCAGAGAGATTTAGATTTGAATTTTAGCTGTCCTACTTACCAATTATCTGATCTTGGGCAAGGAACTTAGTCTCCAGGGTCAGTTTCCTCATCAGTGAAATGGGTCTCTCAGAAATGAAAATTAAATGAGAGAGTAGACATGAAATGCTTGCAGTGCTTGGTCCATTTTAACAATGTTGTTAATTTTTATGTGCCAGGAGCTTAAATATTTTACAGAGGAATCTCACTTAATCTGTAAAATATTCCTATTAGATAAGAACTACTATAGCTGTCTTTTACTAATGGAGCAAATGAGGCTTAAAGAAGTTTAGTAACTTTTTCAAGGTTGCACAGCCAGTACATGAGAGGGCTAGAATTTGAACCAAAGCTATCTAACTCCACTTAAGGGCCATTTTTTTCTCTCCTTTCCCATTTGTATTGGTTGACAAGTGAACTAGTTAGAGAAATACAGAAACAGCCTATCCCAAACCTCTCCAACACACCTACATGAGCCAATAAAATGTAGCACTATTAAAACTAGGGTTTCACCGGGCAGGTGTGGCTCAGTGGTTGAGCGTAGATCTATGAACCAGGAGGTCACGGTTTGATTCCCAATCGAGCCTGAGGTTGCAGGCTCGATTCCCTGATAGGGAGCATGCAGGTGGCAGCTGATCAATAATTCACTCTCATCATTGTTTCTATATCTTTCTTCCTCTCCCTTCCTCTCTGAAATCAATAGAAATATATTTTTAAAAAAACAAAACAGCCCTGACCAGTTTGGCTCAGTGGATAGAGCCTGAGGACTGAGGGGTCCCAGGTTCGATTCCGGTCGGGGGCATGTGCCTTGGTTGTGGGCATATCCCCAGTGGAGGGTGTGCGGGGGGCAGCTGATCGATGTTTCTCTCTCATCGATGTTTCTAACTCTCTATCCCTCTCCCTTCCTCTCTGTAAAAAATAAAAACAAAACAAAACAAAAAAACAAAAACAACCTAGGGTTTCAAAATAGGAAGGAAAGATTTACCAACCACCTTCTAATCTCCCACTTGCTGTCCTAAAACAGGATACTCTGATAGTCCAAATATTCTTCTAGGGGACAATTTGAGTCGGAGCAGAGATGATAACGGTAATTCTTCTTAGATCAGGCTGGAGCTGCTTGGACCCGAAAAGATATTGATTTGGAGAAAGTAGAAAGAATGAAGTTGGTCTTTGGGAAGTACCCAAAGAGAATCAGGCAAATCTTGTCCTTTCAACCCCATTCCACCAACTCCTGCAGATGTGAAACACAGCTCAATGGTTCATCAGCTTCCAGACTTGTGACATGAGAAGTAGAAATTTACTTCCCACTAGCTTATTTCCTTCTAAGACCTCTCAGAGAAATGGAAGAGGCCTAATTATCTGCTCAATTGCTTCTTCCCATCTAAGGAAATAAAATTGAGAAATATTCTTTGTACATCCAAGTCTTCCTGATGAGCATTAAGTCACTTCTAATCAAATTCATTTGCTGCAGACAGTTCATTCTAATGTAAAATATATTTAGCAAGGACCTTTCACGTTCCTTCTTCTGATGGCGGGGTCATCTCGACAGCATTCTTTAGGAAAAGCCCCTTCACTCTCCTTTAGCTCTACTTCCTCTTCCCCACAATTCTGCCTCTTTACCTCTAACCTAAGCTGGCTATATAGATTCCAGCCTCTCCAGCCTCCAGTTCATCTTTCACCTTTCTGACACATAACTTCCTAAACAAGCAGATCTGATGACACCACACCTCTGCTCTGATGCCTTCAATGACTTCCTGCTGTTAATGGAATAGAGGCCAAGTTCATTTATTTGGCAACCTAAATGCTTTCAATCAGTTCCTATTTTCTTTTCCAGCTTTATCTGGCTCCTCCTCCTGTCCATATACTCAGCTCCAGCCATATAAAGACTTATCTTCTCTAGGTCATAACCCTCCTTGATGAATGCCTATTCATCTGTCAAGGCCCAACCCAAATGCTGCTTTCGTAGGCAAGGCTCCCTGGAGAATTTCATCTTGTTTCCTCTGTGTTCTCACAGGATCCTGGCCAGGTGCCCATTACAGCACCCACTGCTTCATATTACACATCAGTTGCTGATCTGTCTCTCCCCCTGACTAGAGAGGGAACTCCTCAGGGAACAGGGAAGCTGATCATTTATCTTGATATCCACAGGGCTGGCCCAGTGCTTGTTTGCAGGGAGGTGGGGGCGGGGGGGATCACTATTTAATGTTTAACCAAGCAAACAAAATTCTATTTCAACTAAAGGACTTGTATGCATGCATATAAGCCTAACCAATGGACATAGACAACAGAGGGATGAGGGCATGAGTGGGGGTTTGCAGGGGAGGGCAATGGGGCGATAAGGACACATATGTAATACCTTAATCAATAAAGAAAAAAATAAAAATAAATTCTATTTCAAAAGAAGTTAAAGAGCTATAGAGATCGCTTCTGGAGAAGGGGGATGAGGAATCGCTTGATAATGAATGTGACTTTGGAGGCTTGGGAGAAAGAGTAGACTTCAACAGAAAAAGCTAAAGAAGGTGATTTAGGTAGAAGGAAGAGCAAGAAAATGGGAAAGTGTGGGGCATATTGAGAAATAAGAAGTCAACAATGATATGTTTGCCTGTGTATTGATCATGATTGACACTATACTAAGCACTTTTTAAAATCAACTGGTCATCCTCATAACAACCTTGGAAAGTAAGTAGTTTGGGCCTACAGAGTTTAAATAATGCCCATTGCCCATGTCCCACAACTCGGAAAGGGAGAATGGGACTCACATGGGGTCTGATGGATTGCAGGACCTGGCTCTCGATACACACCGTGCTGTAGAGGGAGTTGTCATGAAGGATCCAGGCCCTTCATTCCTTTTATTTCCTCTCTTCTCTGCTGGAAGCTGTCTGTATGCAAGGTCAATTTTTTGTGTCTCTTATTGCAGGTGTACTGAAGTTCTACATTTACCTTCTGCAGCTCGGAGGTTGTTCAATGAAAAGGGAAAGGAAATCTTTTCTGTAAAAGACCTTCAAAGAGACGAACTGGTAAAGACATGAAAGAGAAACTGGAAATATTAATATATGAATAATATTTAAAATGTCTTAAAATATAAAACTTCAAACATTTACCCTCTTTCCTCTTATTTCCCCTCTAAGAATTATCATAACTCACCACATCAGAGATGAACACTAATAGCTAACTGTTGAGAGCTTACTATGTGTCAGGCATGATTTTCAGGGTCGTATATGAATTAATTCATTTAAGCTCATCACAACCCTATGAGATGGATGCTCTCATTTTGTAAATAAGGAGAAGACCAAATTATTAACTGCTTGTGGTTTCTATCCTACTCTAAATGAAATAGATTCTCTCTCTTTTTTTTTGGAACCTTCAAAATGTAGTCATTTAATGATAATATTACCTTTTCAGAAAAAAAATTATATCTAGGCTTTCACACACTCTATTTGGGTGGCTGGAGAAGGCTGAGAAGGACGTTAGCAGCCCAGCCTTTGCTTCCTTTTATGGAATTGGGGGTCTCAAATTTGGAAAGAAAACTTGCCTTGACTGATACCTGAAATTCTTTGAACAGAAAACCAAGCTCTCACCATATTATCAGAACTCAATTCAGGCTCTGAATGTGAAGACCCTTCAAGAAAGTCTCAAACAGAATATCAATGACCAGTCTCCAAGGCAGCGTGAGAGAGAGGAGTCCGTTGTTCTTGGAGACTGGCAGGCCTTGTTTGGAATTCTAATGCTACAGATATAATTTGCTACAGTTACTGTGCTAGTGAAGAAGGAACTTAATGTAGATAAATTTAATTTAAATACAAGTAGATGAGGCCACCAGGGCAAAGGAACTGTAAGTGTAGGAGGGTCAGGTGGAGCCAGGGGTGATTGTTATAAGATCCTGTATGTATTTTTGCTAGAAATGAACCTGTCAGTGCTCTGTATAGCCAACATGAAGATTAAACATGAGCAGTTACATGATTAGGTATGTCCATAAGAGGGAAAAGAAATCTGTTGTTCAAAAAGAAAATTTTGAGAGTTTTATCTGAATCTTCATACAGAGTATGTGTGTGATGATCAGGGAGTGGCTTCAAAACAGGCAGAATTAGGCTCCCTTGTTCTCTTACTGAATCTTTCTCAACATATAGAAATAGTTCTCTCTTTTTTTACTTCAAAGAAATATGTATTTATGTAAGGACATTTATGAAATACATATAAGCAAAATGAAAAAGGAAAAAGTATCATTCATAATCTAGTACCTAGAAATATCCCCATTAACATTTTGGTGCATATACTGCAAGTTCATTTACATCAGTGGTCATCAAACTTTTTCTGTAAAGGGTCAGATGGTATATATTACAGACTGTATAGTATCTATCAAAAATCTGCCATTATAGCACGAATGCAGCCACAAACAGCATGAAAATGAATGGGCATAGCTGTGTTCCAATAAAACTTTATTTAAAAACAGGCAGCAGACCAGATTTGGGTTCAGTCATATTTTTTGCAAAACCCTGATTTACACCTACCTATCCCCCTCCTCTCCTTTCCTCTTTCTTTCCCACTCTCCTTCCTCCCTGCCTCCCTTCTCTACTTTTTCTCCTTTTCAAAATTATTTTAAAACACTTTTATTTTGAAATAATTATAGATTCACAAGAAGTTGCTAAGATAGCATGAATCACAAAACTTGAGATCCATCAAAGTTGTTGCCTTTATCAATAGTTTGTGCCTTTTTCATCGCTGAGTATTATTCCATGGTGCCACAATTTAACTACTCACCTATTGTAGGAAGTTTTGATTGTTTTCAGTCTTGGCTACTGCACATAATGCTGCTGTGAGCAGTTGCATTTAGGATCAGAGCCTCATTGCTTCAATAGGTATACGTTTCATGTGGGGAACATTGGATCAATCCTGACCTGTCCATTGCTCATCAAAAGCAGCAACTCTTCCTGAGGAATTTAGCATCAGACATTTCTAAAATTCAAGCCTTCTGCAATACACGTAAGACAGAGGGTAAGCACTGGAGTTATTTATGTTAATGTATACAGCCAAAATAAGTACTTGATGATAGTGCTTTTTAAAAAAAATTAGTTTGCTTAAATAGCTTGTATTTCATGCCTGCATCTTGCTGCTTAACACTTTAGACTAATTTTTGTATTTAACAGAGCTGTATATTTTCATTTACACTACACTTTGGTTGTGCAAAGAGAACATAATTTATTTTGTCTTTAACACATTGGTTTTTGTGAGCCTCACGCACCCCTATCAAGGACAAGACAACTGTTTAGTCAGGTTTAAATTTTATCCCATACATTACTTTAAACAGTCCCTTCAGGGCGGGAATGGGACTTTCAGATTTAGCAGGTTCCAGTCTCACTTTAGTTCCTCTCTAGGATGGAAGAAAGAATTTGGGTGCAGATCCTCTTGCTCTCTGGGCCCTGCTGGCTAAAGTCCATGGCTGGGTGATGGTGTCCCATTCTTTTGGCTCAGACAATGCTTTGGGTGGGTGCTGCTTACTGCCTGCCTAGTCCCTCCTCTGGTTCCCCTGGCCCTTGGAAGCCTGGTTGTTGCTGGGTAGTCATCTCTGCAAGTCTTTGCTACAAGACCCCTTGACCTTCATTGGGCAACCTCTTCTGGAAAGCGCCCAGTAGGGTTGTCAGCAAATCCTGGGGCACAGCTGCACCTCCCAGAAACCATTTCCACATTCAGATTTAAATGGCTTGTTGAAGGCTGCTTCAAGGGTAACTGCTACAGTGTCCTAAAATGAGCAGTGTGTACAAGACTTCCTTGGTGAAGCTCAGATGCCTGAAGTGAAGCCTGTAGGGGAACATGATCCCCCATGCTGGGTTTCTGCCTTCCTCCTCCTCTTACTCTTCTCCCTTCAGGCCCAGAAACAGTTGTTTTTTTCAGGTCAACCCTGAGAAAGGTCAAACCTTTGATATGCTAAATGGGAGCTGAAGGCCTTTGGAAAGATCTTAAATCAAGACAGTGTCATCCTGACTTTCACAGCCATTGACTTATGCTCTGCTTGAAAGTCAAAACAATCCTTGTCCTCTTGTAGCATTTCTCATCTCCTCATGGTCTTCCTCATTCATTAAGGCTGCCTCAGGCACCAGGACAAAGGTTCTATATATAGAATGGCAAGAAGGGGAAATTATTAATATAATTAAAAACATTACCCTCTTGCATATTTTGAACACTGTGCAGTAAGCTTTGCATGTGTGTTTCAAAGCCTTGGGGACATTCACTAAAGAGTTTGGGTCTCTACAGAATGATTTAGAGACATATATATAATAATGTAGTCCATTTAAATAGAACGTACAACTTCATTGTTTTTGGAAAAACTTAGTGTTAATATTTTTTGACTAAGAATATCTTTAGAGGAAAGAATCTACAAATTAAATTGAGTGAAATCCAATGTATTCTTTTAAAACGCAATTATCAGTTACTCTTAGGATGTCTTTATACCGAATAGCTGGACATTTTCTGCATTTGTATTTTAGCATGTGCTTTCAAATTCCCAGTTCTCTGCAATTAGAACTAACCTGTCCTTGCTATGTGTGCATTTCTGCTCAGCTCTTGTTTTAGAAGTCCAAAGTGACATTGTGTCTGGAGCCAAGCTTGCTGTGTGTAAGCCCGTAGCAACTTCTGGAGAAGAGAAGCAAATTATAGAGCCAGAGGAAGAGCAAATGCAAAAAAATGCTTTAACAACGGAAAGTGCTCCCAGTAAAACTCTGTAAGTGATCAGTGTGGCCAGAAAAGCTGCCTGCTTAGTATTTGAACTCAGCTCATTAGCCTGATAACAGTACAGAGCCCAGTAGGGAACCCATGCCAAGTGTGTGAAATGGGTGTCAGGTGAAGAGCTCATATTGAATCGGTTTCCTGGCAGCTTCACTGTTCTACCATCACAATGATCTACTTTCAGTCATTTTGGCATAATGCTACTATTTTTTAAAGGCTAGAATATTAGAATCGCAGACATTTATTTGAAGAATCCATCATGTTTTGTTTCCATAAATGTGGACCTCAGCTATGCTTCTTCCCTAATGTAGCTTCAAGTTGGGTGCATGTTAACGTACAGCTACCATCCTGGACTCTGAAATGGCTTTCTGATGGGACTCATCTCCACATCATCTCCTTTCAATTCACCTGAAGTTCTATCTGTGGACATCTATCTGTGTTCTATCTTTCTAAAACACAATCCTTTTTGTACAGTTCTTTAATGGCTACCTGTGCAGACAGAAAAAATATTTAGTCTGGAATCCTGAGCCCTTCTGACCCTGGTCTAGGCTTGTCATTGACCATCCTTGGCACCCCCATGCCCGCCTCACTCTACCTTTTTTTCTTCCTGCCACATGAACTCCACCCTCCAGCTCAGCAGCTACAAGCTGTCACCTGAACGTGGCATGCTCTGAGCCACATTCCTTTCTCTCCACCTGAAGTCTCTTGACTTGCCCTGTCTTCATCCATGGAATAATTTTTCATCATTGAAATAAGTTATAGCAATGATCATAGATAGCAAGATTAACACACACACACACACACACACACACACACACACGCACCTTTACCACACAAACAACCACCAACCAGGGAATTCCTTGAGGGCAAAATCTCTGTCTTTTGTGAAGAGCAGGGTAAACTGACTTTAATCATTATTGAATAAATAAATGATTGAGTTTTCAAATCATAAAACCACAAATAGTTGATCTATTGCCATTGCAGTAACTGAAAATTAATTGTTAGAAACTGTCTAAAAAGACTGTTTCTGTCCTTAATTATAAGAATATAAACTTTTACTTTAGGGTTCAAACTTCAGATTTTGATGAGTGAGTCTCATCTGGTCCGATGTCCTATACCAACAGAAACACCAGAAAGCCTTTGTCAGAGAGAATGATTTGACCTACATGTCATCTTACTCAATGGTTTGGGAACTGACCACAAACCTTCCCAAAGCCCCTTTCATTCTTCTTCTAAAAGATGTATCATCTGGCCTCTGAGTTATTAGACTGCACTTGGAAAAAAATAAAGAGAAACTAAGAAAAAGAACATCTTTGAGAACAAACACTGACAGTGTTCTGATTCATAGATTTCATCAGGCTTGGAGTCCTTGAGGTACAAGTGATGGAGTCCACTCAGAATGTAATCCAGGAGTCTCCTGGACAATCCATGCAGGCCCTTTTGATACAGTGTCTTCTTGAATACTCATAATAACAGGGAGATGACTATTTCACAAGCAGCCCATTTTAATGCTGAAATAATGATTTAAAACATCTCCATCCTATGATTTTTTCTGTATCTCTATGCAATGCCCTATTCCTCTTCTACTTAAAAGTCCTTAAAATATTCAAAGCTCACCATCATTAGCCCACCGGATTATCTTTTTTCCAGACTAACTTTCATTGGTTCTTGGAACTATTTTTGATGAATCAATTTTAAATCATCTTACATTAGAAAGTCACTGTAAGATTTCCCTAGACTTTCTTAGATATGTTTGGTTGGCAGTTTTCACTTATTTGGAAAGTAGGGTGGCTTAAGAAGGGACATCCATAAAGCAAGTGACTGGGCCATGAATATGGAAGGAACCCTTTTGATAGATGGGTTCTATGTAAAGATTTCTGGTAAAAATGGTAAGAAGCACAGTGAAAGAGAAACTCTGGGAGCACTGACCTCTGCTGTGATGCCTTATGGAAGAAAAGGCTTTCAGAGCTTGGCACTGGGTTGCGGGGGGGGGGGTGGGGGCGGCGGCGGGGGGACACCTTCCCTTTTCCTCACTGCACTGTAGGCAGGCCCTGCCCTCCTGGTAAGCTTCCTCCCCTACTACCTTTCCCCTTACTCGCTGCATGCCTGTCACACCAGTGTCTCTGTTCCTCAAATGAGACAAACATATTCTTGCTTCAGAGACTTTCCATTTGTTCTTTTCTCTGCCCGGAATGCTCTCCCTCCAGATCCTCACGTGGCTGACTCTTCCCCATTGTCCAGGTCTCAACTCAAACATCATCTCTCAGAGGAGCCTTCTCTGAGTCCATTCCTAAACTAGACCCCGCCCCAACCAATTTGTATCACAGTATTTTGTTTTATTACACTTTTGGCACTTATTTTGTTTATTTATTCATTTTATTATCTCTCTGCTCTCCACTAAAATGTAAGCTCCATGAACTCTGATAAATTATGTTTTGTTTATCACTGTATTCCGACACTTAGAACTCGGCAGCTATCATATTGTAAATGTTCAATAAATATTAGTTACAGACATGAATAACTAATAATGAATAATTAGTTTTATGAATGAATGGATAGACAAATGAATGAATTAATAAAGCCAGATGGATTTTTAAATGACCGTTTTTAAAATTGACTTGATTCTACTTCATTTGTCTGGAAACCCAAGAGCATATACTAGTAGATAAGTTCCAAGTTAAAAAATGAAACATCTGGATTTGGAGGAAGAATATTGTTTACACACCACTAAATGTGTTAAAACTAAAAATGTAAATCTGTATCAGATTTTCCTCAAAGAAATGGAGTTTGTGGGAAAGCTGTTGTGTGTTTTTTAATTTTCAACACAAGATGGCACTGTTGTTTTTTAACAGTTACTGCGAGTTTTCATTTGAGAAGCAGCTTGTGCTGCAGTTCTGAATAAGGTCGTGATTACTCACCAATTTCATATCCACATGTCATACTTTTGTTACTCTGGAAAAGTGTATGGTCTGCTCTGCTGACACAGGAGTTGTCCCTGAAGATTTTGGCAATTTGATATTGCTTATAGTTACATCAAAGTACCACCAGACCTTGGTGGTCACAGCCTATCCTAGAGAGCTTGATTTTCACATATGCATATTTACAGTGCTGAAATATGCTTGTTGCTTTGCCTATATATTTATCCTGCTTTCAGATGAGCAGTTCTCATACTGTGTCATGATCCCACAGAAGGCAAAAGTGCCCTGAACAGTGTGGCCTGGAACTGGAGATAAACAGATCTGTGTGGTGGCTATGCTTCCGTGCTCATCTTCTTAAGAAGCGAGAAGGCGGGCACAGTTATTCCAATGATGACTATTTACTCTGAGTGTTTTAGTACATGATTCTCTATCAGAAGCTGGCACTGTTAGTGCCAAGACTATTTGAGTCTCCCTAGATTCCTCTATTGAGTGGAAAAGTTAAGTTAATTAAGATTTCGTTAACGTTGTCTAATGAATAAACTTTATGAAACCCAACAATCTAGCTGTACTGTTCCAGACAGAAATATGACCCACTTACAGGATGGGTACAAGGATTCTCCGTACATGTCTGTTAGGAATTTCTTATACTATTAAGTAGTCTTAATCTTACAATTTTTGAAACATAATATATGGTCTATTTTTTTCTGAGTAAACTTAACAAAGATGAATGCTGTTTATTATGTGATAACAGAATTTTATTTGCAATTTTATATTAAAAGATCTAAATTATGTATTAGTAGGATATGGATTTGCAATGTTAGGCATCACTATGGAAATATGATTTACAGATCTGTCAGTATCCTTCAGGATGCGATCAGAATACACCTCAGAGAAAATTCTGGTAGTATGAATCCGAATTCTTAGACTTGTGTTTGTTTATGAACCTCAATAGAGATTCACATGCAAAAGCCCATCTCCGAATGAAGGCTCGTCACACGCCTCTCAGGTATGCCTGGCAGGAACCTTCTCATATCTCTGATGAAGGCGACAGTTTTCCAAAGAAGATGCAGGAAGAGATCTTAGAAAATGTGGAACCACAGAGAAAATACAGGTAAAAAGTTCCAATGGATTCCTTATACAGATTTCTAGCTGATCTTAGATTTTCTCACTTTGGGGCAAGAATATTCCTAAGGATTTGCATTATTGTTAGCTGCTATTTACATCAACATATACATTTTTGTCTTTCTTATGTTTTGATTGAAGTATTTGCAAGTATTGATGGGAAGGTCCTTCACACTTTAGCTAAATAATATAATTTATTTTCACTGTTGTGTCTTTTCTGTTAAAGCTCATCCATCTTTGCCTCCTGAGAAGTTAGCACAGAGCTTGTATATTTGTTGAATAAACGTGTGAATGAACTTATGCATTAACATATAAGATGCCATGATGTCTTTAAGAAATTAGTAAAATGCAATTTCTTCTTTTTTAATTTTATTATTTTCTGGTCAGTGCCCAATGAAATGACAGCAACCTATCATCTTTAGACATTTACTTAACATTATAGCAGCTTATATGTATTAAATAGTTTTGGCACTTAAACATTTAGCATTAGTCTATACACTATACACTAATAAATGTTTATATTAGTCTATTAATATAAACATCTACTAGTCTTAATAAATGTTTATAAATTAATTTAATTGCCAATGCATTGTGATATTTAGTATGTTTAATAAGCTTACTTAATCCCTTAAGAGCCTTAGTAAGAGATTCCTTTAAATTAACTTATTCACATATTATTATTTTATATTATATTGAGTTGTTATGAGTATGAGTTGTTAGGGAAAATTGAAAAACTTGGAGAATAATGTTCTATTTGCCAGGAGTCTAGATAGAGGATAGAAACACTCATGGTTTAAACAGAACTCCTTTATTTTTCTCTGTTTTGATTCTACATGCCTTATTTTTTCTAACTTCTTTTTCCACTTTAACTAAATTATTCTTCAACTGAATGTCTTTTTTCTTTGCTGATGAGTTTCTCATATTCTCTCGGATAAACATTTATTTCTGTTACTAAATAAACTCAGAATTCTACTTCGTACATCAGTGTGTGGTAGTTTAAATAGCATTGCTGCTGTCCCAAGGGTGATGGCTCACCATTATAAGTGAATTTGGTTCACAGCGGGTCTCCTGCTGACAGAACTTGCCATCTCCAGCACATCAAGGGCACGGGGTATTTTTCTGCACATAATGGGATTTTTTTTTTATCTCAGCCATTCTCCAAAGCAGAGTAAATTGCAGAAGCTCTGCCACCAGCAGTTTGAATACAGAGATGGGCAAATCATAAGTCATGCGGCTCCTCAGCTAGTCCTGGGGGTGCGAGGTCCAGACCTACGTTCAGGCATGGAGGTGGTTTTGGTGGAGAAAAAAGCCAATGACAGTCATCAGCGCTGGATGCACAAGGAAGGCAGCAGGTGAACGCATTATATTTGGGGGTTAATATATCAACAAGTGAATGGGAGATTTGTCTGGTCCCCACAGAGCAGGCTTATGTATATTTGAGGGCTTTGGATTTTCTATTTAACATAGCCAATACATTTTTGTCCTACTCAAGGAAGAGAAAGAGAGCGAGAGCCAATGTAAATGCTCAGTAGTCTACACACAACTTATTTGCTATTGATTCAGAGAAGAAACATGAAATCTGACCTACTGGGTTCATAGCTTTAACTGGCCTTTGAGGTCAAGAGAAAACTGGACTCTTATCTAATTTTATTTTTATGATTTGAAGGAATAAAGTAAGAATTCCAAAAAGACATCATTTTTTAAAATTTGCTTTTCATAACTCAATCTCCTGCACCTCCCCATATACATGCCTTCCCTCCCGTCCTTCCATCAAATAGTCAACTGATATGACTTCCACTCACAGTGAAAACTAATTCTTACCTATTCAAATATATTAAGCCAATCTGATGGGGGGCCCTTGTTTGGATCCAGATTCAAGCCAACCACTATCAGACAGTTATTGCTGAGATAATCAGAGGAAATTCAAAGCAGTCTGGGTACCAGATAATATGAAGGAAGTATTGTTAATATTATTGGGTGTTATAACAGTTATGATAAAAAAAGAAAACCCTGATCACTGGAATATATATTGTTGTATTACAGGTAAAATTAAGAGCTATCTCAGATTTACTTTAAAATATTCCAGCAAAAGCAAAAATGTTTAAAGTTGGGAGGGGAATGGATGAAACAAGAATGGCAGAATATTGCTCACTGTTGAGTCCATGGTGGTTTCTTCAACATTTCTCTCTGGTTTTTTGTGCATGTTTGAACATTTTCTTAACAAGAAAGAAAATAACTCCTTGGTTTTTAGATTGCTTTGCTTCAGGTTCTACCATTAGTGTTATATGGTGAGTCTCCAGAGGCCTCTTCAGTCTTTTGAAATGCCATATAAAATTTGTGTTTGTGTATCTGTGCAATACAGTTGTTTTTTTCTGCAAAGGAGCCGTGATTTTCATTGGATTCTCAAAGGGTGTGTGATGCAAAAGGTTTAGGAATTGCTGCTTTGCAGAGATTGCATAAACTTCAGCAGGGGGCAGCAGAGGGCCCAGCATGTGCCGCAAAGGAGCTAGCCTTAATCTGCTCACTGTCTGAGATGAGCAAAACTGCCAGCAAGGGACACTTGCTGGGCTTGTTTTACAGAAAGCTGAAAAGCCAACATGTAGATGGACCTGGTGAGTGTTTTCCTTGGCCCCATTCATCCTAGCCTAGCTAAGCTGTCTTTGCAATGGGAAGCTAGGAAGCAGGTTTTTGTCCCTGTGAATGGCTGGCTTTATGGAACCAGAATGCATTCATTCAGCTATAAAGAATTTTCACAGGCAGTGTTTTAGGTTTAAGAACAAAACAGATAAATATCCCTGCCCCTACAGAGCTGGTACTGCCCCATCTCTACATTTCTAGAATTTAGCATCTTACTGCCTTGCCTTTCTGTATTAATAGTACAGATCCTGCTTAAGCCTCAGTTGGAATTCAAGCATGGCTGATGAACTGGGGTGAACACATATGGGAAACGTGACCCAAGAGAGGAGAAAGCCAAGCATGATGAATTTAACTCAGAAACACTTGTTCATTGGAAGAGAGGGCAGTTTCTGGGTCCTCCTGAGTGTCTGGCACTGGTTTCGTTTTTCATCCTCATTGCTGTAGAGAAAGCAGGAGGAGGGCACGGCTATTCAAGTGAAAATAAAAGAGAAGTTTGCCTAAAACTCTGAAACACTGGACTATGATCAGCACCGCTTTGGAAAATGTAATCACATGTAACATGAAAGAGAACAGCCTCTTCCGATGTCCTTCCACTTCCCCAAACACTCAGCAACTTGGCCTTCTTGAAGCCTCCCCATGTCAAGCTGTAGAAGAGAGGGACCATTGGTGGGAAATGGTGGTATTGATTGGTCTCTGGTGGGAAACTCCAGAGTCTGAGAGAAGAGATGGAGCAGCGAGGGGGAGGGGCAGTGGAACAGGGTTTGCTCATGAGCACATGGGTCACCATCTGGAGACTCCACAAACATTTGGACAGAGGTTTCGCAGAAGTCTGGATGATTAATTGTGGGCACGATTTAGAGAAATATATGTCCTATGGCAGAAGTGTGTCTGCCTAGTGACAGTAATTCTTTCTTTCACATTTCCCCTTGGCATCTTGCTGTGTGTGTTTGGGTTTTTTCCCCCCTGCCTAATTGGGTATTGAAACCCATCAGTTCTGATTAACTGGTAAGGCCTGGAGAACCTTGATTGCACTGTGTAGCAGAACCTATAGAAAATTCATTTATGTGAACCACTGTCTTTTGATCCTCCTTATTTTGCATAGGCAATACGTTTACGCTTAGGGAGGCAACTGCCCTTTCAGTATTTGGAATAATAGGGTGGGGGCAGAGTATCTCACTGCCAACATTGTGGGAGGTACTAAGGGGCATCACTATGCCAAGAATTGTCTACTTTTATATCCTTTCATTCAGGCCTTGATGGGATAACACATCGTCTTGGCTGGAAGGGCAAGAAGTGAGCAAGGGGACCCTGAAAGGCACAGGAAATTGCTAGCGTCTCAGCAGCTTGGTTTTCAACCCCACAGAAGAAGGTCCAGATCAACTTTTGAGATAATCTGGCATCTTCCTCCCATTTTCTCTGGCGCAATCTGAGTTAATCATTTGGTCTCTAAAGGGAAATATGAAAAAATATGAAGAAATCCTCAGGGATGAAAATTCCCTCAACAGCACTCAAGGTTATAGAGGGGGAAATTCAGCATCATGGAATTTGGATCTCAAATCAATCTTGAAAATCTTCTAGTCTTAGTCACTAGTCTAGGTAAACTGAGGCTCAAGGAGATGAAGTGACTTGTATGTGTTCATAGCATGGGTTAATGAAAGAGACAGTGGTATTGTGCTGGATATTGCTAGGACACAGAGTGATTTCTCACCTTGCTCTTTGGCACGCAGGGGGTTTTGTGTAGAGTTCTATAAGCTCAGGCTTCCTGCAGAATATAAGCATTCCTGCTGTGGGCGAGCACCAGTTAGCTGCATTGTTCAAAAGGAAAAAGAAAAACCAACTCTATGATGGCTGAGCAGGGCACTGAAGCCTGGGGAAGTTGCTATATCTATTCTAGTCATTCTAGTCAGCAAAACACAGAGATAGCTAGGTAACTAATATTGGCATCTCAATAGGTTACTGCAGAAATATATACTCATTCATTCATTCATTCATTCACATACTGTTGAGTGCCAATAAGAATGCAAGGTGCAAAGTCTGCAACATGCTGAGGCTGCAGAGATGAGCAATATAGAATATCAGTTCCCTTGCCATGTGCACCGTCTTCATAAAAGCTAAGAAGGTATTTGATAAAATTGAATATCCACTTTGAATTTAAAATGATATTTCATTAACTAACAATAGAAGGAGGAAACACATTGTAAGATTAATGGTGATTATCTTGTAGAAGTCAGAGTAATGTTTAAAATTGTGTTATAATTTTACTATAGTCTTCAATGTTTTGTATATTTTTACAATGAGGATATATTGTTCTATGTTCAGAGATTTAAATTAGATATCTGGAATTTTTTCAGTCTTGCAAGGAAAAATATATTACTTTTATAATAGATCCCTTCTCTACTCCCACATCATTAAATTTTATGTTCAGGAGGAGTTGTATTTTCCACAGCAGAAATGCCACTATTGGTCTGTAATGTAACTATGTTGACAGAGGAAAAGAATTGGCTCTTTCCATACAGACAAGAGCCTAAAATGTTCAGCTTATTTTTGCTTTTAAGTGATGCAAGGAAAAGAATGAAGGTTTTAGCTCAATAATTTTCATTTTGTTTTCCAATCGAGGGGACCTTAAGTTAGCTCCAATAAGATCACATAAAAATATTCACCACATATCTTGGACTTTTAGGGAAAGCTCCTTTAGAAAAAAATAATTGAGGGAAATCTATAAAAAAATCACAACCATTAGTAAGAGTCACTAATACAAGTACTATGCAACAGACAATATTCATTGCATTTCATATGCATTAACTCATTTAATTCCCACAGTCATCTGATGAGGTATTACCCCATTTTACTGATGAGCATACTGAGGCAGAGTTGTTAGGCAGAGCTGTGGAGCTACTGACAGGTGGACCCAGGACTCAAACTTAGGCACTGTGGCTCCCACTCTGATACACTGCCTCCCATAGCAACTAAATGGGGGAGGAGAGAATAGCAGTCTGGGTACAATCTGGAGGCAGAAACCGTACAGTGACTTAAACAGGAGAAGTTTAACATAAATGATTATTAAGCAATGATAACAGAGTAATTATTGGATATTTAAACAAACATCCATTCTATATGATACTGTAAGGCTGAGGGAGAGTATGCAAGAAAGGACAGACTTGGACTTGGACCCCTTCCCAAGGCTGGAGTTCAAAACCCATTGGAAAGGTATGGTTGCAGCCCACTGGCTGGCAAAGAAAGGTGCTGGTTTGCCTGGCCAGACTTTGTCTTTGGCTGCTGGGCAAGCAGCAAGCAGCCCTCTGGAACATAAATGGGGGTGTATCTGGTTGCCGGGCACATGGGCATGTAAAGGGAGTGAGGGTGCTGGCGTGGCAGAAGGCCTGGAGCGTGCAGGATCTGTGTCAGGAGAGCCTCAAGCAGGCGATCATGAGGCCAGGTCAGGGCTGGGAAGGTGCCGAGGGACCACGCATTCTGGGCACCTGGTTGGGGAAGAGCATCACTGGATATCCCACTCCCAATTAGGGACGCCATACACCGCCAGAAAGAGGAGCCCCTTCCTCCTGCAGTGCTCTTCCAGCACTCTCCGTGAGAACCCTTAACATCGTGCCTGCTGTACTAGTAAAATGGGAGAAACGCTTAAAGGATTCACATCCATTATGGAGACAAGAAGTAACACACCAATAAGTGGCACAGAGGGAGCTCTAAGCTGGTCATGCTGCTGTGTAATGTGCCTAATCCTGTTTTCCCAAGGACCTTTCACCTGGTGAGGAACCCAGAGCTTGTGCTGGCTGTGTCTATGACCAAGACGGGGAATGAAGTCTGCAGCTATCCAGTTATTGTTCAGGTAAGGTATATATATATATGCTAAAGAGTAATCATGGCCCTTTATTTAGTTAAATGCAAGTAAAGCTCCATGCGTCCTTGGTGTGGAGAAAGAAATTGGATGTCACAGAATTCTATCTTGAATGCTATTGCTAAAATATTTACAACCGTCTGCTTAGATTTCAAATTGAACATGTTCATGTAGCTCTTAATTTAGTTTAATCCAACAGATGGTGGTTGTGGGCTTGCTGTATGTCAGGAGCTATGCTTTCTACTTAAATCAATTCCAATGGCAAGCACGAGCAATTGTCCCAGCAGCATTCACATAGCTTGCAGTCTCAGTGGTGGGTACAGTCAGTGGAGTGGCTGCTAGATGCACCACATGTTTTAAGTTCATTGGCAACTAGAGTGAAAGAACATGGTCAGAAGGCTCTTCCTGAAGGATGTGAGCTCAACAGTGTTAATTCTAATTACACTTTTGACATACTTTTTATAAATATTTATAGCAGCCAAACAATTTTTTGAGACTCCAAAGAAGTCTAGCTTCATTTAAGTTTTAGGCAAACACCTGGGCCGGTCTTTTTTGTTGTTGTTGTTCATGTTTGTATGTCATCCTCATTTAATTATTTATAATCAAAGACACTCCTAAATAAATATGTGTTTTTCTTGTTAGGAGGGGAGAAAGTTTAGGAGCCTCCCTGCTCTGAATTTACTTTCTGTATCCTCCACAATCTTTACCTTCCTTTTGGTGAACAGAATATATTGTCTCCAAGTAACATTTCTTTTATCCCATGTTTTTAATAGCAATGAATTCAAAGTTGGGACAAAGCAATCTGGACGAATATCAAAGCTTAATTAAGTCATCTATCCTGATGATAAATACGGGCTTAAAATTTGTTCTAGGAGACATAGTATATATAGCATCACATTCTTCCCTGTCAGGTGCCTCTTTGGCAGCAAGATAAAAACCTCACGCAGATGCAAATTTAGTACTTTAATCAATTTCATAAAATTATAGAAATGGATGTTTCCCTTAAGGTTCCCATTTTATAAGAAATGAGTTTGATACCAAGATAATTTGTATTAATTTTCAAGATTTTTTGTTGTTGTTGCTGGTGTTTCATTTTTATTTCTTGAAGCAATCCGTTTGTGGTAAAATATTAAAGTTTAAGTAAATAAATAAAAATGAGGCATGTTAGGTTAATCTTACTAGCCCCCCACCCTGTTCCTTGAAATATAGTCTTTATTTTTCATACCTCTGAGGGATGCCCTGTTATCTGACCTATTAAATCCATTCCTAAGGTTCATTTATTTTCCTCTTTACTATCAATCTCTCCTTGATAAAGTAAGTGTTATTCATTATAAAGTTCCTCTAGGTGTCATATGTTTAGTTGGAACTAATCTGGTTTAATTTCTCTTAAATGGAAACAACTTATTTCTTTACTTATGCTTGAACCAAGTTATATAATTTGAATAAGTATGCTATTTCCATTACATATAAAGCTGAGTGCATTCACATTTTAAAAAATCCTCCTTGATGACCAGTGAAATGTAAATTAAGATATCAGCAAGGTATTACTTTTCATTTACTAAGTTGAAGATGTTTTAGCAAGAGTGTGAGGAAAACAGGCCATTTCTTATACTATTGGTGGACTTGTAACTACAATAACCTTTCTGGAAATTATTGGCTGTGATAAAGTTCAGTATTTAAAAGTGATTGTGTTCTTTTATTTACAATTCTACCTGAGAAGTTTGTTCTAAAGAAGTTTTAGATTTACACAAGGATTTATCTGTATAATTCTTCATTGCTTTTTTTGCTTACAGTAAGGAAAACTTGAGAATTTACATGTTTAATTTTTAGAAGGTGGTAAAATACAATATCCCTAAAAGCAAATAGTATATATACCCTTAAAAAATGTTAAAAAAAGATTCCTGGAATATTGTTAAGTAAAAACAAAAACAAACAAACAAACAAAACAAACCTAATGCAGTTATCAAATTGTATATATTTTGTGATCCTATTTTTATAAATTAAAGAATGCATATTTATAAATATACTAGTGCCCCAGTGCACAGATTCATGCACATTGAAAGGAAATTAATTAGAAAGTGGCCAGTGGGGCTGGACACACCCTGGAGCCAACCTCCCACGGTCCCTTCCCACCGGCCGCACCTGGGACAGTGCCATGGTTCAAAGGGCATCTGCAGAGTGAGCAGGGTCCCTCCAGCAGGAGGGGTCCCTCAGCCTGGCCTGCAGGGATTGGGCCGAAACTGGCTCTCTGACACCCCCTGAGGAATCCCAGATTGTGAGAGGGCTGTTCTCGGGTGACACACTTCAGAATCGGTTTCCTTCCTCTCTGGTTCTGGGGTGCATCATCTGAGAACCACCACTGCCGAGTCACCACAGCTGCCCAGTCACTGCAGCTCGGCAGCTCCTGCATTGAGTGTCTGCCTCCAGGTGGTCAGTATGCATCATAGCTACCGGTCAGATGGTCGCTTAGCTTTTTATATATATAGACGTTTATAAAAATCAAATATCAGATATGTAGTTATGTAATAATCAAATATATAGTTACAACTACATAGCAGAATGAGTAATTATCTGTACTTTCTGAATTTATGCAATTAAAACTAGGGCTGCCATAGCCAAATCATAAACTCTTCCATTTGACTCTAGATTTTGTCTTTTTTTCCCCCCAGAAATATAAGCCCTATAACAATGGGACTTCCAATCAAAAGTGGAATTACATTGAAAATAAGAAAACTTTTATGGCCTTCCATAGCACTGCACTGGATAAGGAAATCACAGCCGCAAATTATGCTGGAATTTGTACATTCTCTGTAGTTAAAGAAAACATTGATCAACCAGTAAGTGGTTCCTTCCTACTGAGGATAAATAAAAACGGGGAGAGGGAGTAATTTAATAAAGCCAGAAATTATCTTTATAGAAAACTTATGTTCACATAAATTGAGCACTGATTTGTAAATAAACTCAGGGATTCTGGGTGGGAAACAATGAGGGAATATTGATATTACTCCCTACTTATATGGTTCTGATGGCTCCCTATCACCAGCACCATCTTTGGTTCATCATCAGTTCACCAGAACACACATGAGTGAGGACAATCACACATACTACCCTTCACAGGTATGCCTGCCACACCAGGTGTCACTCTACTCCATAAAGCATCCTAACATGCAAATGAGTGTAAGTGACTTTAACTATATTACACTATACCAAGCATAGGCCTACGCATTCAATACATTCTAATTTGTAAAGAAAATAATTTATCAAGTTTGGTCCTTTAATTTTTATTAGTAAGGAATTACTTGCACTGTGCTTTACAAATATCTAAGATATTGTGGGTCAGTGAGTCAAGCTGCCTTGATGTTGTTGCTGACCATTGGCATACCTGAAATCTCATAAAGCACCTATAAGACCCTCCAAGACCCTCTTTACTCTGCTTCTTAGATGTCTCTAAACTGCTGCTGCTGCTTTTTAAAAATAATATATTTTTATTGATTTCAGAGAGGAAGGGAGAGGGAGAGATAGACACATCAATGATGAGAAAGAATCATTGACCAGCTACCTCCTGCATACCTCCTACTGGGGATCAAGACAGCAACCCAGGCATGTGCCCTGACTGGCATCAAACCCGGGACCCTTGAGTCCGCAGGCTGACACTCTGTCCACTGAGCAAAACCAGCTAGGGCCTGCTGCTCCTTCCTCACTTATCATTCTCTAGCTCCACTGAATGAGAGATGTCCAGGAGTACCATGCGATTTTGCATCTCTCTGGTTTTGACTGTGCTGTCCCCTGTACCTCTTTCTATTTTGTCTGTGAACTCATACCTGTTAGCAGATACACTGTCAGACTAGTAAAGCTGTCTTAAAATGAAACAAGTCAACTTGGAAAGGCCCCCACTATCCAAAGATGAACCATTTAAGCATTAATATGCTAATTAGTGCAGTGGATTGACATACATCAGATATATTTAAATCCATACTGATATTAAGTGACAGCAGCAACAACTCATTGGTCACAACTAAATGATGCTATGAAAACAATTCATTACTTTAAAAAGTGGAAAATAAATAATCAAGCTTTTTTTTTCTTTATTTCCTCAGGATAACAAAATATTGGGTGAGAAGTTTCGCTTTATAGAAATACTAGAGGCCCGATGCACAAAATTCGTGCAAGAGTAGGCCTTCCTTCCCCCAGCTGCCGGCACCAGCTTTCCTCTGGCACCTGGGACCCTCGCAGTCCCAACTTCATCCCGAAGGTTGTCCGGAAGGACATCTGGTCTAATTAGCATATTACCCTTTTATTATTATAGATCCTTGCTAATGAGTGAATTGGCACACAATTCATCATGAACACCATGCTTTTCTATCTAAATGATTCTTTCTGTATGTAATATTCATTCAGTTCCACCCGAGAGGGGATATTTAATTTTCTGCTTTCCAGTAACTTGTAGAAAAATGGAAATCAGATGTGCTGATAGAGAAATTCATAGTGAAATTTGAGAGTGACATCTTTGAAAGTATGATGTCAATGTTGACTTTGAATTGAGATAGCTCTATGTACTTAAAGGAGTGGTTGAACAGAATGGAAAAGGCAGAACAGCCAAGAGCTTGGAATCAGATGTCACAGTTTTATATCTCATCTCTGCCATGTGCTACTTGGGTATCCTCTTCCTCTCTGAACTTTCATTTTATCTTGTGTACTAGTACATTGAGTCTGGTGGTACTAACTCTGACTGTATGTAACTTTCAGCCTTGTGAAGAACAAAGCCAATTAGAGAGTCTATGTGAAGGTACTTTAAAATATTATCATGGAAATTTTCATGCATATTCAAAGTTGAGAGATTAGTACAATGAATTCTCAGGTACCTCTCATCAAAATTCAACTCTTATCAGGGTTTAGAAACATTTACAACCCCCCAGACATGATATCACTTCACCTCAAACGTAAGCATGCACCTCTGAAAAATTTGAACATTTTCTTACATAATCATTATGCCATTATCACATCTAACAAAATTAACAATAATTCCTCAAATGCCCTGTTCTTAATTATATTTCCCAGGTTCTCCTGCAAAATTCTTCTTATGGTTGGTTGGTTTGAGTCCAGATAGTTTTATTGTGGCCATCATTGCAAATAATCAGCCACATTTTCTAATGGCCAAATATCAGATGTATAAATTGGTGCTCGTTTACTCCACAGGTGCTCCCTTACTCCAATAAGTTGTGGTTTTGTTGTTTGTTAGGGTTTTTTGTTGTCGTTTTTAGCATCATTATGAACTCATAGGATTTTTACATATTCAAACATATTCTGTGTTTTGGTTATCATTCTTTTTGTTGCTTTTAAATTGTCCCACTTTGGGCCTGTGGAGACTCTTTATGTTGGCTCCTGTGTGTTTTTGACACGATTCCATGATGATTTTTCTTTCTGGGCACCACATGATATCCCTTGCTCATTTTGTGTATTTCTTGCCCCAAATATGGAAGTAGCCATTCCTCCAAGAAACTCTGATTCTGGGCAAAAGTTATACACATTATGTTGAATTGTTATTGTCTCTAAGCATTTTTAGTCAACGGAGTTTGGAAATATGTTCTCTTTTAAAAATATATGTTTATTAGTGAGCAAAATAATGCATTCATGTTGTGATTTCATTCAAGAATTATAAAAATGCTTTATTTGTAAAGTGTTCTTCAAAAATGCTGCTATAGTTTAGGTGTTTCTATATAAAAGCACCTTTGTCCCTCTTTTTAGGGATACTATTCTCTCTCACCTTCTGGAAAGAAAAAAATGACGCTGTGCCTGGCCTGTGGACGATCCCTGAGAGCAGAGAAAGGACTGAAGCAGCTGCCTGCAGGGCTGCCATTCGTCTGTGCCTCAGGCTCCAAGACCCAGAGGCCCTTCTCACGAGGGCCTTTCAAGACCATCCATGTGGCCGAGGTGTGTAAGGATCTGAGCTCTGCTAATACCTACATGGCATCACTTTAGAAACTTTGATGCACTCATTATCTGCCTTGGACTCAAGTTCATCTCCAAGCGTCCAATTCATCTTCCTCTGATGCACCTTTACCATTTCACCTGCATTGATTTTCTTTTTCCCATTGTAATTTAAAATACATTGTCTATTAATAGTTCGATACACTCTTTGAAGTTAATTGGGCACTTCTGCGGCTTTAATCATCTACTGACACCTTCCACTGCTCTCTGTGTTGCTTTTAGATGAGGAAATCACTGCGAATCTTCACTTAGTGGAGCAGCTTTTTTGCCTATATCCACGGGGTAAAGTCCTTTTTACAAGATGCAGCATTTCGGGGAGAATTTGATATGTCGTTGTCAATGACTCTTCAGGTTGGGGGCCTGCATTCACGCACCCATGTCTAATATTATTTATAGCTTATGGAGAGAAAAACCTCTGCCACTTTCCTGTGATCTTAATTTAAAATGGCACCATTTAAAAGAGCCTTTCTTTCAAGTTTAGACATGAGAAGAGCTAAGGGGAACTTACCCCGCTGTATAAAAAGGAGTCATTCCTAAGAGGTGGGCAACCTTTGGGCCTGGTGTGCTCATCAGGGCTTGCTGCCCGTTCCCAGATCACTCTCCTCTCCCCTCCCTAAACCCGATACACATTGTGGGGAGGGGATGAGAAGGGGATAGTAACAGTTACATACACATCAGCTGAAACAATAACTCTGAAGGAGAAAGGAAGTCAGTCCTCTGGGGAAGTCATTGGCCTCTGCTTGAGGGAGAGTGTTTAGGACAGTGGTCGGCAAACTCATTAGTCAACAGAGCCAAATATTAACAGTTCAACGATTGAAATTTCTTTTGAGAGCCACATCTTTTAAACTTAAACTATATAGGTAGGTACATTGTTATTAACTTAATTAGGGTACTCCTAAGGCTTAGGAAGAGCCACATTCAAGGGGCCAAAGAGCCGCATGTGGCTCGAGAGCCGCAGTTTGCCGACCACGGGTTAGGAGGTGGCAGTGAGCTGATTGGAAAGCCCGCCCAGTGTCCCATCATCTCAGACTGGGCTTTTCCCATGGGGCAGCATCCTGTGCAGGGCTGGACAGGGAAAGGTGAAGTGTGGTGTTCATACCCTCGTTACCGTGTGGTGAAGGCCATGCTCATCCCCTCCTCGTTCATCAGTATCTGCCACCAGAAGAGGGCATCATCCTAACGCTAAAGATTAAGAGAACATGTGTACTGTGAGTGTCCCCTTACTTCAACCCCAAGCTCTCTCTGGCCCTGGCTTCCTTCCCCATCTGCTGTCATAAGAGAAGGAAAGTAGAAAACAGGAGGAGGCTAGGAACACAGCCAGAGCCCCAACCTCACCCAAGACTCAGCAGCAGGCTGGGAAGAGAATGAGTTCTGACCTGATATCCATCCCACCACAGCATCCAATAGTGGTAGCATGTGGAGTGAGCATTTCAAAATGTAGATGCCACACATATGTACATGCACATATTTATCAAATTGAGAGACTGAAGTATACCTGAATGACAAAACTGTGAAGAAAAAAAAAAGCTTGAGTAGACCTATGATTTTTTTTTTAATCAGGTTGACTTATCTTCTTATGAGGCTGAAAAAACTCTAAGTCATTATGAAGAACATCTATTATCTTTACGGATGAAGACCTGCACACAAGTTGTAGCTCCTGTTGGTACGGCAGCTGCGCTCCAGAAGCCGGTGAAAATAATTGCATACAAAAATGGAGATGGATATCGAAATGGGAAGTTAATTGTGGCTGAAACATTCCCCATGGTAAGTGGCTCTCACTTAACTGCTTGCATCCTCGGAAGTAATGATAATGGTGATTCTTCTGACAAGAAAACAGCAGTGGAATTGAGTGATAAATGTCCCTGGCCAGTTTCACCAATTTATGCTGATAAGATCAAGATCTCTGTTTTCGTAAAGATTTTCTTTTTGATTGTATTTCTTAGGAAAATGAGAAAGCAGAAGATGGTTTTTAGATTGGGTCCAGAGCAATGATACATAAAAGCAAAGGGAAAACAAAGCTACCAGATTTTCTTCATTTTTGTGATAGACACAGCACCTTCTCTGCCTTCCTTCCCATTCCAACTTCAAGTTGTATGTCATCTGCATATTTTAGAAGATGCCACCTCCTTTATCACTGCAGAATCCGAGCACTTATTTGTTTATAAATAATTTGATTCATCTGATTTTCAAATTGAAGAAGCCGGGGTTATGCTGACAGGGCATGTGTGGTTTCTGTCTTAGCAGTTGTCCCCTGTAGTCAACAGAAAAGGAATAGAGCCCCAAAGGCTACACCCAGTTTTGTCCTGTTTGGGGATGATTTTGTCAATACCCTTAATGACATAATTTACAAGTAATGTTATATATGACATAAAGTTATCCTGGAGACTTCCTTGCAAACACTCACACATACACACCCTTGTTAACTCACCTCTTTGGTTGAATACAAATAGAATTTTTAAACTAAGGTATTGTTGTTCAATGAAATAAGCCACGTACAAAAGTTTGCAACTCCAGGATTCATCCTGGGACCCACAGCTGGCTTTTGTGATCTTTGGCAAAATTATTCTTTTAGCCTGTTTTCCCATCTGCAAAGTGGAAGTAATAATATGCGTCAGCTTTTGGTTTAAAAGTCAACTACTCATTTATTTTAAACAGTTTGTCAAGATGACTATAGCAATATCATACCTTATAAAGCAACAAAATTAAAAGTGGATTTTTAGGTTAAACATTTTTTAAGGAAATACTCTAAGGAAACACATCAGCTACCATTTTAAATTTTTGGAGCTATGACTTTTCACAGCTAAATTGGACTCATGCCATATGAAATTAAGTAGAACAATCTAATATCAAAAAGTGTCTCTAATCAAAGATCAAATAGGCAGTTATTCAGCTTTCTATTTTCTCAAATTAAAGGATTTTCTTTGATTTCTAAGATAACAAGCTCTTCATGATCATTCCCAGTTCTGTCACTGTTTCCTCTCAGTTCCTTATGTAACTGGACAAACTATGGGTCCATGCTGCCTGTCACTACTTGAGCCAATTAAGCAGAGACAGGGTTGAATCATTATGAGCATTTATTCTAATACTGCCGGCAGTATGGGAGAGCAGCAGGTCATCCACAAAAATCTGCTCTGCACCCCACCATAAGCCAGCTGCTTATATTGGGTAAAGGGACAAAAATTAAATGGGGAAATAGCCAAAAGTTATGCCAAATGGGCAGTTAACAGATAAGCAGGCTGGAGATTTGCAAAGGCCCACAGGTATGCAAAAGGGCTGGGGTCTTCTAAGAGCTGGCGATTCTGGTGATTCTGGTTTCTGCAATGAATTTGTTAATCTTTCCATGATATTAGGCAGCTCCAAATGGGGAAGATGGGCTGCATTTCCAGGTGTGTAACTGCCAGCCAGGTTAGAATGTGCCTTCTTTAATCAGTACAAAACAATCATAGTTAACAAAGCATGATTAATATTTCTTACAATTCTAGCTGGTTCTCCAACATTCTGTTTCTACCCCCATCACTTACAGTCCATGTTATCTAGCTTCTTACAGAATGCACGGAACAGCTTGGTCTTGCCCGAGCAGCCTCCAAAGTATATACTAAAGATGGAACCACAATCCTTTCCCTGCATGAACTGGTTTTATGGGCTCTAGATAAATCATTTATCCACAGAGACCCTGAAGAACAAAAGAAAGAGGCAGCCCCCATTGGAACAAAGGAGACAACTATTAAACGTATGGTTGGTTACATTCTACAAGACTGAGCTGATTCTGCTATGTTTGGTAAAAAAAAGAGTAAATTTTGATTCTTTCACTCTATCACTAAAACAATAAATAAATTGCCTGGAATTTATAAAATGTGTTTGACAGCTTAGCTACTTTATGCAACTTGAGCAGCTTTTGTTCTTAAATTCAGAACCCAAACCAATTGGAGACCACTCAAGAGAGTGGGGCTGGATCAATGCAAATTTCTTCCTAAGATTTGAAGCAAAGGTGTCCTTACCTTCTGCCTTCCAAGTTCTTTTGCTTGCCCCTGCCCATCTCCACTGCTCCTATAAACTCTCAGAAGGTCCAGAAAATGTGCCTCTATTGCAGCTCCTAGCATATCTGTATATATAAAAGCCTAAGTGACCTTTAGGACCAGACCACTGGACAACCGGATGACCGGATGACTGGCCGGTAGCTATGACGTGCACTAACCACCAGGGGGAAGATGCTCAATGCAGGAGCTGCCCCCTGGTGGTCAGTGCACTCCCACAGCCAACCTCCCGTGGTCCCTCCCCCTGCCGGCCAGCCCCAATCGGCCCCAATGCCTGGCCCTGATTGGCCCGATCGGGACTGGGCAAGATGGGCCCCGATCAGCCCCAACCACCGGCCAGGTAGAGGGATGCCACCTATGCACAAATTCATGCACTGGGCCTCTAGTTGATTATAATTATCTGTTTACATCTTTGTAATCATGGCTTGGTCTTTCTGGTGACCAGCTCCATCTGGGAGCCCACCAAGAGTCATCTCAGAGCAAAAGACACTGCCATCACCCAGGAAATTCCAAAGGACTTAGGAGCTGTGCCAGGAACCTGGGTCAAAGACTAAACATTAGAACAGAAGATGTCCCTAGTGCTTTTATCACTTAGAAAATCAGAAGAATTTCAGGAGCTGTGTGCCAAGAACCAAGGATAGAGACCAATATACTACTATATAGTTTCTATTATTTCACAATGATATGGTTTTGTTTTCTAATGAGTTAATGCTTAGCTGATCACTAAAGTGTATATTTCTGCCTTTTTTAGCATATGGAATATTTGATTTCCATGTTCTGGAAGATGATACTCTCACTCTTTTTATTTAAAACCTGGTTTTCATGCAGGACTACCAAAAGGGCATGGCCATCCCTTCCCCTTTGTATTCTAAAGGTTATCCTTGAATCAGGCAGGCCCATTAGCAGCTTCCTCCTGAGTTGAATTGTGGTTTGGTGTTATGCCATCAGTTTGAATTTAAGAACTTGAGAGAAATAGGCATCTGTCAGAAACTCAGCATCATGCTTACAATAGAGGCAGTGGTTAAAGGCATAGGCTCTGGGGGCGGATGGCCTAGATTCTAATCCTGTCTCTGCCCCCACCTAGTTATGTGACTAAATCTCAGTAACCTTTTCTGTAAAATAGGCAGGAACCTACCTCAGAGCATCATTTTGAATATTACATGAGAAGATGTATGTAGATGTCTTAGTAAAATGCCCAGCACATATTAGATTCTCAATTTATGTTAATTTCTATTGTAGGATATTGTTTGCTATATCACAAGTAACTTCTGTATTAAAAACCATGGAATTGCTTCTCTCAGACCTCAGGACCAGGAGATGTACATCTTCTGAAGAATTTCTTTCTTTTTGTGGGCTTTACAAATCTTGAAATTGTGTTTTCCATTTTGCTTTGACCACTAGGATGCTCAGAGCCTAAATTGTGCTTTACCTCTAGCAAATAAAAACAGTGTGTATTCATGTACATTTAAGAATAAAAATATTGGAGTTTTTTGGATGCTTGCCCAATTAAATAGACCAAACACTATTCTATATACTTTACTTTTTTTTTCTTTTAATCTTTCCAACAGTAAAGTGAGATAGACATTATTATTTGTTTATAAGATGAGGACACTACAGTAATTATCTCTGGCTTTAGTCTATTCCTATACTCCTTTCCCCCCTTCCTTGGTTTTTCAATCTCTTTGTGTTATCCCTTTTCAGAGTAAATGTGTTGGTAAGCCACCTCAAATTCCCTTCAGAAGTAGGAATCAAAATGCATAGTTATAATCAGATGAGTATAAACTATTTGGCTTCTGTGAAGTTCTGATCAAATTTATATATTAGCATCAGTTTTGGTATTGCCCACTTAAATCAAGTCATTAATGAAAAATGAAATATTTTGAATAAACAAATTAATTCAGTAAGCAGATTTACTCATTATTCATTGAACAATGGTAAAATGTCATTTGTTTCCCAGAAAACCCAAGACTGAAAGTGAAAAACAAGTTATTTCCAACATCTGTGACATCCGATGGTTTGGATGGTATAGATGAGTCTTTGTTCACCCTCCTTCACAGAAGCCCGATTGCCATCTGGGTATCTTGTGGGGAACCATTTTTATCTCCCAATGGTAAGGGGTTTTTTTTGTTTTTGCTTTCTTCCAAGTAAGTGCATGAAGGAAAGGATAAATAAATTTATAAGAAAATGAATTAAATGTGTATAATGTCAGCATAACATCACATTTATGCAAAGAACGGAGATCTATCAATTAACATGTGCACAAGGATAGCTATAGTCCTATATTTGCACAATTGCCTGTTTTTTCTTAATGGAATGGAATATGCTGCATGGAAAAATGTCTAATTTAGTTGATAAAGAGATCCTTGGTCTGTGAAGACTGAGAATAATGGTGTACATTAGAAAATAACAAATGAGTTTAATTCACACTGAAGACGACCTGTCTGCACATTTTCATTTTTAAGAATTGCACCCTTTAGGCAGTAGGTGGATGTTTAAAAAATGAGTGGTTCCAAGCCAGGCTTTCATCACCTCCAAATAGTTTGTGGAAGTGGAAAATGAAATATGGCTATTGCATATGGTAAATCTATATAATAAAACAGCACTGTTCTTCTCTTTCTCACCCTGCATTCCATAAAGAAATGCCTTAAGCCCTGTCATCTTTCAAATGAGGTTTCTTTTAATGACCCTTACCTTTTAATTACTTCTTTCTAATTGAATCTATTTCTTGGAGCAGAAAGTTCTTTATAAATTATTGGCTTGCATGATAAATTACTGTTGGTAAAAGAATGCAAAATAAAATATCTTGTATTTTATTACTCTAGCTTTGCAGAAAGCAAAAAAATTAGAAAAACAGAACTGGCAAAAAAAGGACAAAATTTTGGCTGACTTAGACACCATGAAACACAAAATGAGACAGTTAAAAGGTCAGTATGAATTAAATCAAGTATCATCATGTTTAATTCTAAATAGTCTTTTTACCATTAGATACCAGATGTTTAACTGAGTTATATATGTATACATATAGTGTTACCAAAGTCACTTGAGCTAGTCTAAAACCTAATAATATATATTTTTAGTACTGATTATATATTTTTAAATTTTATATTAAAATAAATATCACATGATTTATATATACATTTAAAAATTTAGGCAGTTGTCTGGATCATATAAACACCCTATTGTTGTGAAACAATTCCTGCACTGACATTTTATGGGCTTAGGAATTAATCTTTGAACAAAGTTGCTGTCATTCCTTAGGTGTTGCTTTGGAAGAAGTTTTTAAATAATGTGAGGAAGGAAGTACTAAATTCTTCAAAGATCATTGTCAGTATCTCAGAACAGCTCCCTCTTGTCATGCAGCCTAAGATATGCTATCCATAGACAAAGTGATCAATTCGCAATTGATCTTCCACATGTTTTTGTCACAGAATTTTAGGTTCTTGACCCAGCACTTCAGATACCAAATGGTTCTTTGGGGAGAAACAGTGCATTATGGGGTTTAGCCTGGGAAGGAAAACATTTCAGGCTCTGTGACTGCCATAGCAGGATTTCAACTCCTGAGTATGCACACTGTCTGGTGTTAAAAGCATGTGAATCTTATTTCAATCAACACCACAACTAGTCCTAAGTGTACTAAACAGAACTCTGCATTCAATGATTATTATTCCATTCTTACAAAAAGAATTGTTGGGTCTAAGTGAAAAGAATCTATTACTTCTGCTAGACATTTTCACTTGAATGTCCCATGGGTATGTCCAAAACTAAAGTTATCATATCACCCCCACACCAGCGGCCTCCTTCATCATTTTTTTAAACAGTGGACACTCCCACCATCCACCCCGGTGTTTCATCTCAGAAATCTGGGAGTCATTCTAGGCATCTCTCTCTCTCACTTTCTCCAAGAGAATATCAGTAAGCCTTGTTGCTTTGAAGCTATTAAGTTGATCTCAAATGAATTCTAACAGTCTGAATTCCCACTAGCATTACCCAAGTTAAAGCTACTGTGACCTATTCTTTGGATTACTAGAACAATTTTCTAACTGGTCTCCTGCCTCCAGTATTTTTTATTATTATTATTATTATTATTATTATTATTGATTCTGAAGAGGAAGAAAGAGATAGAAATATCAATGACGAGAGAGAATCATTGATCAGCTGCCTCCTGCACACCTTACTGGGGATCAGGCTCCTAGCCCAGGTATGTGCCCTGTCTGGGAATCAAACCATGACCTCCTGAATGACTTCAGTGGTTCATTCAACCACTGAGTCACACTAGCTGGACCCTGCCTCCAGTTTTGACAGTAGTGTCCATTCTACGCATTATGGTAATATTCTTGAGCTGGAGTGATCATGCAAAAATGCAAAGGTGTCATGGTCGTCAGGCATAAAACTCCCCATTTCAAAGCTCCCATTATGTTAGGACAAAGTTGAAACTCTTTAATGGGACCCTTCATGGTCTGGTTCTCTGCAAACTACTCTCTTTCCTTGACAATTCCACTCCACCCCACCAATTTGGGCTTTTTTTTTTTTTCATTTCCCAGTCGTACCATGTGTTTTCTTTTGACTCTGAGCTTTTTGCACAATTCAGTCCCCTCTGCCTCAAACTTTTTTCTCTCCTGTCCCCTTGGATTGCTCCTACTCATTCTAGACTTTTCAGCTCACTTGTTATTTCTTTCCAAATTAGGGGTAATGTGGCTTACCACACTCTGAACTTCTCCTCTGACAGTCCTCATCACGTTAGTATAATTGCCTGGTCATGTAACATGTGACTGTACCTTCTCTCTTATATTATAAATTATATACATTTCTTATTTGTTCTCTGAATAGTTTTAGAAATATTGAATGAAAGAATGAATGGAATTTCAACCATCCCCTCCAGCAAATTTTTTCAGCTCTATTCCTGTTCCAGGTTAAATCAATACCAAACAGCATACTGAAAATAGTACCTGGCAGAACTGCCTTGACTGAATTTTAACTTTATATCAAGTCTTCAGCTCTTATTATAATTAAGATAATTCAGCTCTTATTTTAAATAAGTATAATTTAATACTTATTATTATTATAAGTATTAAAAAGGCATTTAAAATTCAGATGCCATCATTTATAATATCACTGTTGAAGAATATAGTTGGTCAGATGATGTCCATTGTGGAAAAATCTACATGATATGGTTTCTCTTAGAATTTAGTGCTAAGATAAATCTTGGCTCTTCTTACAAACTGTGTTTCTACTATTAAATGTAAATTCAATACATACTTATAAAATACCTACCCTGAGGAAGGTCTTTTCTAGTTTGGGGATGATGAGGATAAATAAGAATAGATCTAAGTCCAGTTCACTGCAGTCCCTGTTGGATTGTGAGCTTCTTGAGGATTGGATGAAAGAGGAGGTATTGGAGGTATGAAGAGTGGCTGAATCAATTCTTTCCTATTATGGTAGCCATTGGTAAATGCAGCAAGTGTCTATTGAGCATATACTATGAACAAAGAACTATGCTAAGTTGATTTTACATTTCATTTGTAATATTAGTTACAGTTGCTAATATTAATTATAATATTAATAATAACTTATTAGAGCTTTTATGATTAAGTAACAAATGTCAACTATTTACACCATGTTTAGCACATAATAAATACTCAGTAAATATTAGAATAGGAGTTCCTGAAGAAGGCAGCCCATGCTCCCACCTGGGGTCTTAAACACTGATAAGTAAAAGCAAAGAATGGCAAAGTATCATCTTTGTTATGTATAAAGGCAACACTAGAACCTTTTATTTAGTGTGATAACTAAATGGAGCTGCTAAATGAAACCCCAAATAAGGTGGACTTATCCTCTAGGGCACAGATGATGCTGAAACAGGGATGGCCTCCCCATTAGGGAGGGGTATGAGAAGAGCTGTCTAGGTTTTATAGTCTGAAATTTGGTTTGAGATTTATAGTCTGAAAATAGCAAAGCACTCATGTTCTCTAGCTTACCCCATTAATAGTTGGCTATTATCATTACTTTCCCTTGATCTCATGTGAAATAAAATAGGATATATAGAAAATGGTAATAAGAAAATAAAAATAATGTATTCAATACATTTTTGCTTGGTTTCAATATTCTTCCTACATAAATAATAGTTCGTTATAAAAACCATTCCCCAAACCAAAACCTTTTGTGATAACATTATGTCTCTTTATGATAATTACTAGAGGCCCGGTGCATAAAAATTCATGCACTGGAGGGGGGGGGGGCAGTCCCTCAGCCCGTACTGCTCCCTCTCACAGTCTGGGAGCCCTCAGGGGCAGGAGGTGACCCAATGATCAGGGGAAGGTGACACCCCCATCACACCTCTGCTGCTGCCACTGCTGACAGTGCAAGCCTTGGCCAGCCCTGGTTACCTGAGCCTTGGGCAGCCGCCATTCAAGGCTTGCCTGTGCCTTGGGCCCACCCTGGGTGGCTGGGCAGCCACCATCCAAGGCTTGCTTGCACCTTGGGCCGGCCCTGGGCGGCTGAGGGGCTGAAAGCGGGTCCCGCTGCACCACATGCCTGCCACACCTTCCCCCCACCCCCTCGGCGGGGCTGAAAGGACTGGGGGACTCTGGCAGGGCTGAGGGGACTGGGCGCCGCCATCTTGTGGCTATGGGCACCTCCATCTTTGTGACGGTGTGATGGCCAATTTGCATATTCCCTCTTTATTAGATAGGATAATGAAAGTGTATTCATGCTTAATTTTCTTAAGAGCATTAGAAGCACATTGACAAAAAGCAAATAATGCATAATGGTTTTTGTTCTTTCCTATGTTCAAATCCTGGCTCTCAACAGTGCAAGTGATAAACTATTGCTGAACTCTCATTAACTGAGCAAAATTCTAGTGTTCAAAATGCATTATACTAGTAAATAAAATATTTATTGAAATATTATTTATAAAAATGTATGTCATAAATTAATGTTTTCTGCACATTATGAATAGAGTTGTCTTAAAACTATGGTTAGTGCATTAATTTCTGTTATGTATATTTCTGCTACCATTGTGTCTTCTCCAAAGCATGTTGTATAATGGTACTGCCAATGTAACTCATTGGCTGACTGATTCAGTTATGTTTTCTCCACATTTATAAATTGCATAAGAATGCTATGTACATAGGGTTTTGGTTTCTATGAAAAGTCATTGCTGCCACTTATTTTATTATTGGATCTATTTCTACAAACTTAAACTACAAGAACACAAATGCTTTATTCTCCGCAAGTTCTGAATTATTTTCAACGAGTTTTCTTCATAGTCATATTCTGAAAAGAGTTGCTAAAGAGTCTTTTGGCAACATAATTAGTACTTAACTTCATTTTAGAATTTTTATTATTATATCCACCTAAGTGTTACTATCTCAAAGAAGCCTTCCCTGAGACCTCAGACGAGGTTAGTGACTCCTGCTACATGGCTTTATAGGCCGTGTACTTCCCTGGTGCAGCACAGTCACAATCAGTTGTTGTTCTAATCATCTCCTTGACATCTGCCTTTCCCACCAAAGTGTAAGCCTTTGAGGCAATGACCTGATCTTGAACATATTTTTATTTACATCATCCAGCACAATGTCTGACCCATAGCTGCTGTTCAACTTGGTTTCTGGAAGGAGCATACAAGAAAAGCATTATTTTTACTTAAGTTTAGAGATCAGCATGATACTCAGTGCTGAGTATCTCTTCAGCACACAAAAATTCATAAGTATGACTTTTAAGCTTCTTTAATAACGATTTTAAGTAGTCTAGTTGAAAGGATGCATAAATTCACTTCACCACACTTATTAAATCATGCCTGTGATTCTTTGGAATGCAGTATTCCAATAAATATTTTCTCTTACCACAGCTTCTTAACAGCCTAAGGGGCACAGCAGAGGTGTCAGAAACTAATTGTGCTCACAAGGTATTATTAGATAGGAAAAAAAGGCCTCCTGTCTCTTGGGTTAATATTATTTTAGAAATACTTAATCCCCAGGCTGCTAAGCTAATTGTGGGGGAAAGGCTTATTATTAGTGACGAGAACAAAACATATGTTCCATGACTGGAAGAGATGATGGGCTATATAGGTCATGGATTCTATTTGACTAAATTACTGCTGAACCATCGCGTTGATGAGAGACTGGGGCCAGTGTGGAAGTCAGGATGTTACCTCTCCTTTCCATCTGTGCAGTGAGAACGCGTATCCTGGCTATTTGAAACCTCAAGCTCCCATATGAAGAGGCATTGTTAGATATTATTACCTTAGGCATCTTTGCTTTTCTGATATATTTAGTGTTTTAGCCTCTGCTCCCAAGTGGAATGATTTATGCATAGAAAGCCAAACCAATTTATTTGAAATCTGAAAGCTCATCATCAGAAACAACATTTCCAGAGACTTCTTTCCCCAGGGCGGCGAGTAGCAGCATGTCAGCCAGCCACCATGGTTCCCAACCAAAGCCCTGTGCAGCCGGTGGTGGTGGAAGGAGGCTGGACCGAGCAGACACAAGAGGAAATTAAACTCATGGAATGTATAAGACATACAGAGGTATGTTCTTTAGGACTCAAGACATTAAAGACTCTGCCTCTATTATACGCTTTCAAAAGTACAGTATTGAATTTTAAAATTATGCCCATTAATGTGTTCTCAGCATCTGGTCAGTTATGACCATGTAGGCATATGCCAAGCCTTGAGTTGGCATTTGGAGAGCAGCTCTCTAAAAGACATCCAGCTCATAGGGAAGTCTGTTTTGTTTGAATGGAGACCAGAAATTATGACCTTAGCCAAGAAGAAAAAAAGGCCCAGTGGATATGTACAAAGGTGATTATAATAAGTGTATTCAAGTTGAACCTTATGGCTTCATTGCTCATCACTCCTAAGGGTATGTCTCAATGTGTAAAAAGAGCAAGGAGCAAAATACTAATTGCTATGGAGACATTCAGAAATGAGGAATTCAAAAAGCTGTTTCAACCCAATTGCTTAATTAGTCAGGATTGCTAGACATGAAAAAGGCGAGAAGAGAAAGGTCAGCTATTGAGAGAGGATTGGGGATAGAGATCTGGGAAAACTTTTTGCTTTGTGATGTTTTCATTAAAATGATATGTTCTTATTTAATAAGTTTCTCCAATCGTGATGTGTGTTCAATCTACATTGTGGGTGTGTGCCCAAGTCAAGGTTACTAGAAAAAAGAAATTGACATTGCTAGAAATAGGACTTGTTGCCAAGTGAACAAGGATAAATCACTGACCAGGGAATGAATGCAAAGCACTGAACTAGGACATGCTTGGAGTGGGATGAAAAGCTGCCTGGCTGGGATCTGGCAAAGTGTAAGGGTGGCTGCTGTGTTTGCAAAGACAGAGATTAGGGACTCAACAACAGTCCCGCACACTCCCTTAAGCATTTCTTGGTTAAAGGAAACAATGTTGTAATTCTAATCAAAAACTCATCTATTAGATGCAGAGAAATTTCTCAGTAGGAGAAATGCCATGCAAGTCCAAAAACACATCTCTATTCATTACTTGAAATTATAAATGAAAATGAAGTGCTTTGCCAAAATGTGTACCTCGTTATTATCACTGCAATGATTATTATTGTCTTCAGTGATTCATTGAAGCAAGGGAAATTTACGAAAGACTCAGGGACAGGAGAGAGTAATGCACTTCCTAAAATTCTGCACGTAAACCATCATAAGATTCCTGTCTTTCGTCACATTCTTCACACACACTAAACATGACATTCTCTGGGCTTTCCTTGACAGGCACACCTTTCTGAAATCCAAGAACGGCAATCCAAGAGAAATTCTCCAACTGCAACTAAACATACAGCACTCAAGCAGAGCAGCCTGTATAAGCAACCCAACGCAAAACGGGTCTGGGTTTATCTAAATGGATGCAGACCCGAGGATGGCACTTATGCCTGGGGCAAAAGCATTTCAGAGGTAAACCTGGTGTGAAAAGAGAAGGTTCGAATCCTAGTTCTGACATTTCTAGATTGTGGGGTCAGACAAATTACATCTCTAAACCTAATTTTCTCAACTGTAAAATTGGAATAATACGTTCTTCACCGGACTGATATGATTTAATGGGCTTATACTAGTGAAAATATGGGATCCAGTGCTGTCTGGTGTATGTGTGACACAGAATAGGACACTTGGCCAACAAGAACAGTGACAATTAAACACACTGCAGCTCAAGAGTAAAATCTAAACTTTGGAATAATTTAAAGTAGTTTTCCTGTTCTGTTTCAAACCCAGTTTTCAAAAGAATGATTTTTTTTCCCCACAGGATTGTCAGGTATTATTCTGTAGGGAAAACAGTAGTATTCACTAGAGAAAAATTATCATAGTTTTCCTACCCAGAGTCCTGGAACTGCAGCCAGCTTTTCACTTAGCAAAGGTAAAATATTGACTAAGAAAAAGATGAACAGCAGTTTATTTATTTTTTGTAATATCAAGGATATAATTCTTAAGTTTGACATTTTGTCTTAGTCTTTAAAAACTTTAGGCACATAAATGGATTTTGGTAGACTTTTTAAAAGTCTTAACTGTTTCAGTGATATCTCAAAAAGTTGTTTGGTTTTTTAATTTTGTGAAATGTTTTTATAAATTGTGGAGGGACAAGACAAAGTCTCATAAAGGTGAGATATTGTTAGGGGTGGAGGGAAAACACAATGGTGCAATAGACTGGCCTGGAGGAGTTCAAGTAGGTTGCCAAGGGCATCTGGAGTAGTAGGCGCATCTCCGCATCGCATCTCTGAGGAGTTCTGCCCCTGAAAGTGGTCTAGACTCAGAGTGTCCCAGAGACCATTCCGGTTCGACAGGGACTTTGAATAAGATCTTGGAAGCAATCACATCTCAGAAGGGGACAACCAATTTACTGTACTTGAGAAAGGAGATTTAAAAAACAAGTAAGACACTTCATATACGTAGGGGAAAAAAGAAAATGGATTTTAAAAAGAGAATGAAAACTTTTTCAGGAGAGAACATTCTAGAATAGGCTCTATAACAAAGCTGAAATGTTTCTTCCGTTTTGATTTCAATGAAAAATCTCAATTTGTATTGTAATTGCTAAGTCTTAAAATGCACCAATCCATTGCAACTAGAACTGATACATTAGTGAGGGAAAATGAAATGATAAACAGACCAAGGGTAGAAAAGGGACCATAGGATTAAAGATAGCCTATCAGACTCAGGAAGGCAAAAAATTATAATAACTTTTACATAAATATCATATATACGGTGGAGGAATGACTTTTTGGCTTGTGACTCCTATGTAGCATATAAAAGTCACTTCATAAATATTACTCCATGATCATGCAATTTTTTATGAACTTTGTACATGAAGGGCTAGATGCTGAAAGGTATTATTCTAACTTATGAATGTGAAAAGATTTTGAAAACTTTATAATGCAGTATAATTCACAGGTTAATTCAATAGTGGTGGCAGCAGTAAGAAGAATAAAATAACACATGTCTATGCTCACATTAAATTAATATTTCGAGTTGGCAAAGCATTGAAAATGTATCAAGATTTACTTGGGTGTGTAGAGAAACAGGCACTCCTATTGACAGAAGTACAACTTTTGGAGTTAACATGGCCACTCATAAGAAAACTAGAGGCCTGATGCATGAAAATTCGTACAAGAGTAGGTCTTCCTTCCCCCAGCTGCTGGCACCAGCTTCCCTCAGGCACCCGGGACCCAGGCTTCCCTCCTCCAGCTGCTAGCAGGCACCCAGAACCCTAGCCCTAATCGGTTTGGCTCAGTGGATAGAGAGTCGGCCTGCGGACTGAAGGGTCCCAGGTTCGATTCCAGTCAAGGGCATGTACCTTGGTTGCGGGCACATATCCAGTGGGGAGTGTGCAGGAGGCAGCTGATCAATGTTTCTTTCATAGATGTTTCTAACTCTCTATCCCTCTCCCTTCCTTTCTGTGAAAAATCAATAAAATATATATTAAAAAAAAAAAAGAACCCTGGCTGGCTTCCCTCGGGCCCCAGCTTCATCAGGAAGGATGTCCAGAAGACATCTGGTCTAATTAGCATATCACCCTTTTATTATTATAGATGTACTTCTGAACTTTATCCCAAGAATATTTTCACAAATTTATGCAAGGGTTGTTTAGTAAGAATATATATCACAGTTATTTATAATACAGATGGATTCGAAATAATTTAAACACTCATAAACAGAGAGTTGGTTAAATGAATTATAGTACATAGGATCGAATATTATAACTAAAAATCAACTTTAGAAAAAATAATGACAATAAACATATTTAAGATATGCTAAGTGAAAGAAGCAAAATCTACAGCATGTGGAGTTGAATTCTATATACATACATGAATACCTCTAGAAAAACAGACTGGGAGGATTTTTTGAGGAGTATTTCCTGGATGGTCTTATTATTGGTGACCTAATAAAGTTGGTATTGCTTTCTTGTGTGTTTTTCTATGTGTTCCATATTTTGTTGTGATGAACATAGATTGTCTTTGTGAGAGAAATATGTTTGCTAAGGGAGCTAGCATTCTTTTTGGAGAAGTACTAACAGCAGGTGACATGGTCAATCAGTAGAGGTTCAATAGTTCAGAGAAAGGAACACTGCCCATCTGGGATGAAGGAGAGGCTCCGAGAGGAATTATCGACACTGTTGATGGAACTTGAGAAATGGGCAAGATTCAATATCTTACGCAGAAAAAGTAGTAACAAGGATGAGAGGTACCACACACAAAGATATGGGTGTTAGAATGCATAAATCATATTAGATAGATGGTCCTTAAACTGACATGTAAGGAGAGATACATACAACTGGAGAGATTGTTTAAAAGCATATGGTGGATCCCACATACTATCTGTATTAGTCTACTTGGATTGCCATAACAAAATACTACCACAGATGGGAGTGGGAGGAATTAAACAGAAATTTATTTCTCAGGGCTCTGGAGGCTGAGAAGTCTGAGATCAGGCTGGCAACAGGGTTGGATTATGACAAGGCCTCTCTTTCTGGCTTGCAAACAACCACCTTCTCCCTGCTGTGTGTCCTCACAGAGCCTTACCTCTGTTCAGGCATGGAGAGGAGAGAGAAAAGCTCTAGCATCTCTTCTTCCTCTCATAAGGTCACAGTTCTGTGGGATTAGTGTCCCACCCTTATGACCTCAGTTAACCATAATTACCTGCTTAAAGGCCCTTTCTCCAAATATAGTCACATTGTGTGTTAGGGCTTCAACTTATGAGTTTGGAGGATGACACAATTCAATCCATCACACTACCCCCAACTAAAGTGCTTGAGCCACTAGTTGTCTCTGAATAAGGAAATGGTATCATGAAAGCAATATTTTGGGGAGATTAATGTGGCTTAGTAGAAAGATACTTAGGAGATGCCTAGAAAGTTTTTGGCATGTTGTTTTTCTTTTGCTTTATTTTTTTTATAATGTTTTTATTGATTTTTAGAGAGAGGGCAAAGGTGTGAGATAGATGGAAACATCAATGAGAGAGAAATATCATCGATCCGCTGCCTCCTACATGCCCCCTACTGGGGATCAAGCCAGTAGGGGGCATGTAGGATCAGCAGTTGAGTGTTGGTTCATGGGTCAACACTCAACTGCTGAGCCACACTGGCCCAGCCTTTTGCTTTATTTATTTATTTTTAAGTTATTTCTTACTGCTTTCCTTTCCTTTTCCATGTCCTTTATTCTTGTTTTTAGGCTCCTGCCTAAAGTTCTCTGTGATCAGTTGGAAATGTGTCATCTCAGGCTATCAGGCTGTCAAGAATAATTCTACAGAGTGGACTTGTGTGTGAAACAAATACACAATGGGAAGAGTTGGGCTCAGATTTCCCTGGGGGAATCTGGCTAATGTCATCAATTCCAGAGAAGCTAAAAGTTTCAGTGGTTGGCACTTTTGCCAGAAGAATGAGGAACAGGACACATTTCAAAGAGCTTCACTCTACACTCTGTAATGAAGCCCCTAGACAGTATTTGAATCCCATCTAATGCAGGCTTTTCCTCAACTTCTTTCACTGCTGTGGCCATTCTGGATGATTTAACCACATCCTTCCTACCCACCCTTTGAACACTGCTAGAGCAGCTCTCATCTCCAACTGCTTTAGGCTCATCTGTCATCCATGCACCAAGGTGGCTTCCTCACCGGATTACTGGCTCTTTCTTCAGGGCCGACATCTTTCTCTGATTTATGATTGCTCGGGCCCCTCCTTCTATCGACCGGAAGCATTCATCTTCTCCCATTCCTGCAACATCTCTCCTATTCTACAGAATCTCAAAGTCAGTGTGTTCTCTCTTGGCCAGGGACAGTGCTGAATGTATGAGTGGAAGCTGAAAGAATGAGAAACAGCTCCCTTTGATTTGTAGGGGCAAGTACCTCTTGCCCACAGGGAAAATGCAATAGTTCAATGATGCCCATGGGCCCCACCCTGAGAAGATCGGGTCTAGGAAAATTAAACTCACAAAATAGATTGTGGGAGAGAAATGATGCATAGAACATTGTTCCTTTGTTCTGAGCTTTGGTTATGGCAGAAATTACAAACATTAAAGGTCATATGCTGACTAGATATTTTAGAATTTAATTTTGTTGAAAATACTTTATTTTCAAATTTATTTTTTAAAAGAGTTTTGTGAACTCAATGAATTTGTCTCATGTAAACAGATCTTTGTGAAAACCAAATGAAATCGTGATATATTTAATTCATATTTTGCACTTGGTATATGTTTTTCTTAAATAATGTTCATTTCTCTGATTAGAGGGAAACATAACCTCTATAGACTTGTGACATTTTAGTGCTAAAGTAGTAAAATATATAAGCAGTACCTTTATGTGGGATCTTTTCAAGCATCACAAGTTTCTTCCCGAGATCTACCAATACATATTTCTAGGACACCACTAGAGCAGAAAAAAAAAATGAGTAACTTCTATGAATTGAAGTATGTACCCTTAACATTTTTATCTTGAGGCCTTACAATGTGACTATATCTGAGATCAGACGAGATCGGGCGCGTTCAGGGTGGTATGGCCGTAGACAATGTGACTATATCTGAAGGGAGAATTTTAAGAGGCAATGGAGGTTAAATAATGTTTTAAGGGTGGAGCCCTAATCTGATAGGATTTGTGGCCTTATCAGAAGAGGAAAAGAGAGATTTCTCTCTTCTCCTACTGTGTGAGGACACAAGAGAGCAGCTGTCTGCAAAGCCAGGGAGAGAGCTCTCACCAGAAAGTGAATCAGCCAGCCAGCACCTGGATCTTGGACTTCCCTGCCTCCAGAACTGTGAGAATTAAATTTGGACCATGTAAGCCACTCAGTATATGGTATTTGTTTTGGGACCCCAAGCAGTCTAAGACAGTGACTATTGTGGAAATTTTAGAAAAATTGCGAAGGGAAGCCATATGAATCTATTACAAGTGAAGTTTTTCTTTCTCTGAATAACATTCTGTTTTCTAATTATAAAACAGTATATAGACATTGTATTAAAATTAGAAAAAGAAAAGGCACCAAGAAGGAAATGAAAATTCTGTCAAAAAACAAAAATCACCAAAGTTATTATAATTTTAGTAGATATATTTATGTGGTTACTATAGAGTCATAATTTTTTTGTCATTGTGATCATAGTAGATCACAGGGCATACACAATTTTGCAATCTGTATTATTCACCTAAAACATTATTGTGACTTTTTATCCATACAATTTAATTATTTTCAATGGTATCATTATGTTCTGTCAAATAGATGGATTGTTATTTATTCATCCTATTTTCTGTTGTTTGCCATTTAAGTTGTTTTTAAATTTTTGCTATTACAAAACATACTCCAATGAACACATTTATATGTAAATCGTTAGTTAATTAGAATTGTTTGCTTTTCTTTTCCTTGCCCATGTCCCTTTTTGGTGATGTTTTATATTTACTTATTATTTTTTTCTATGAAAACTTACTTTAAAATGTTTAATTTGTTTATTTTTCTGACCATTTTTGTAGAAGTTGAATTGTGTTCTAGTTGTCTTACTGCCTAATATTAGTCATGTTATGGCTTTCCCATAGTGAAGGAATTTACTTCATTCAGTTCTTAATCTGAAATGTATGTAATATGGTTTTGACTTTTTGTGTACATGAGAATATCTTTTGTTTTCTATAGCCAAAAGTAATAATTTAGCTGGATATTGAAATTTTATGTTAAAAATCTTTCCCTCTAAAAACTTCATAGACTGCTTTATTTTCTTAGAAACTCATTGTTGCAGAAAACAGGTCTAAACATAATTGAATTTTCCCCCATGTCTGAAATTCATACTTTTCACCCAGTTATACTTAAATTAACTTTGACTTATTAACTTTGACTTATCCTGCATTAACCTATTTGATCTGAAGACATGGCCTGTTTGGGACAGGAAATTTTTCTTCTATTTTTTTGATGATTGTTTAAGTGTAATTTATTCTGGATTCTTCTCCAGTAGCCCTGACGTTCCTCATTGTTCAAGCACTTGAGTGAACTTTGTATGTTTTTCTCCCCATCTCCTTTTATATCTCTTTCTAACAATTATAAGTAAAACGAGTGTTCAAATCAGGACACTAGTTCCCTTAAAAGAGTTGAATCTTTAATACTTAACTATGTTGTGACAATCCACCTTCCAATGCTAAGTGTGTACCTTGGTGTCTCAGCTGCTAGATGACTGCTCGGCTCGTCTGAAGATGGCCCGCCCAGCCAGCACCCTGTACACCCCCGGGGGAGAGCTGATTCTGTCCTGGGACCAAATAGAGCGAGACATGGTCATCTGTGTGTCCACAGGACATGGCTTCGTAACCCAAAAAGGTGTGGTGACAGTTTCTTTCCATCGTTTCCAAAGAATTAAATCATTCAGTATTTTCTTCCAAGAATTCCTCCTCTACACTGTTCTATTCCATGTTACTAAAGTTAAATGTATAAACTTATGACACTGTTTGCTCTAAAGAATTCAGAGTTTAAAAAAAAATAAAAATTCTGTTAGTCTTGTGCCTTTTCCAAGGGGTTCATTTGCAGGGATTCTCAAGGGCCTAATTTGAAGGTATTTCCTTAGTGCTAGTATGAACCCTCAGGAAAGTGAGGCTCCATTGTCTTCCTACTTTTCAAATTATTTAAAACTTAGTGTTTGCTTAATAACAACTATTTGGTTTGCAGATTTCCTTTCTTTTTAAAAAATTTTTTGTATTGATTTCAGAGAGGAAGAGAGAGGAAGAGAGAGATAGAAACAAGCATCAATGATGAGAGAGAATCATCGATCAGCTGCCTCCTGCACACCCCACAATGGGGATCGAGTCCGCAACCTGGGCGTGTGTCCCAACTGGAATCGAATCATGACCTCCTGGTTCATAGGTCAATGCTCAACCACTGAGCCACGCCAGCTGGGTAGATTTCCTTTCTTTAGTAAAAAGTAAATATATGCTCGTTTAATCATTTTGTCTGTTTTCTGATAAATTTCTTTCATAAATAATAGTGGAAAAGAACATGTATTTGTTTTTAAACCAACTGTTGTCCTTTATCATATTTATCCTGAGGAATTTAAAGCCCTTTTTGATAGGTAAGCATAGATCAGCAAAAACATCATTTTTAGGAAATTCTGAAGAGCATTGCTATCACTCTAAAGACATTAAAAGAATAGGAAGTGAATTATCTGGTTTTCTAAAGTAGTAAAGCTAGATTGTTTCTTTTAAAAGGTCACCATAAAATGATTATTACTATGTTATATATAAGGTACGTAAACCAAAAACTTTTCAAACTGTCATAATTAGTTCTTTACATTTAGTCATGAAGGAACAAAAGCATAGGAATGAAGACTAAAAAGTAGGGAAACAGGAATTTATTGGGATGACCAGAACTGTTTTGGGCGTGCTACAACTATTCCTCTAGCACCTTCCTGTATAAAGGAAGAGGCTCCAATCTTGTATTCTTTGAATTCTATTGTCCCTGTCACTCACCATTACCCAACAGCTCAGCTCCTGCAGACCCTTATGATGTGGTTCCTTGAAAGAATATGCCAATCATTGGGGTTCTTATCATTGGTATTAGTTGACAGCTTTGTGTGTTCCCAAAGTGCATAGCCTATAAAAGAAACCCTTCCGGGTTCCTTTCCTGAAAGAGTTTTCAATCTAAGTATATAAACACACTTGAAATATTACAACACAATTGAATAGTAGGAGGTACTTACCAAGTCCCTTCATTATTTACTGGTATGCTTAATCTTTCATACTCTTGAGTTGGCCTTCTGTCGTCTGGACCTCAGCCTCCTGGCCTCACTGTGTTCATTGGACCTCTCTGATAAATAAACCTAAGAATGCTGCAGTCAACCTAGCCAAAGGGTATCCAAAATACAGTGAGAAATGTAGGCTGCCTTCCCGGAGGCAGGCTCGTTACCAATAAAAACTGTGAAGGGAAGAGAGAAAATTGGAAATGCAAATATCACTCTCCCTACAATTTCCCTCTCTGTTGGCTCTGTGAACCTGTGACTAGGTTGTGTGGACAAACGTTTGTTTTTGCATCTTCAGTTTTGTAAGCACGTGGATTACTATGATGTGAAAGTTGATTCTTTTTTATGAAAGTGGGTCCCCATAGTACCTGCGTATGGTTAGTGGTTTTCTGCAATTGTCTGAATTCTTTCCAGTAAGTGATACGTGTTCTAAAAAATCTGATTGATAACAGACTTTTAATTTAATTGTACTTTAGAAACTTAGTTTACTATATGAGTGCTATCTCATTGTTTTTTTTCTGAAAGAATTAAGTTAGAAATAATTATTTATAGAAATCTAAATATTCAGAATGTTTTAAAAGAGAGAGAAAGGCTACCAGCATGTATATACTTATAAAGGGACATTTAATTAATTAAAAACTTCATTCATAATTTTTCTGTGGCTTCTTGGCTTATGTGTAGTAGAAAATAAGACAGCCTAGGAGTTTCAAAACTAATACTTTATAATAACTCATTTTGTGTACTATAATGTAAAAACATTTAGCACGTGGAAGTTAGTCATCAAAAAATCACATTGGGTTTTTGGCAAAACAAATCCAATGCCATTTGAATGGTTTCTTTCATACATACCCCTGACAAAATTAAAAGAGTGCTTTATGCCATTTGTCATGAGATCTGAACTGTTCTCACTGCTGTGTTTACCATCTTCTCAGTGGGTTCAATTTTTAGACCACTCCTAGGTTAGCTTTCAGTTCAGGCTTTATAACATGCCTGGAAGGAAGCCCTCTCCAGCAACTGCCATTGGGTAGAAATCCCAAGAATGTTAACACATATGTGATGTGATAAGAAGTCAAGTGTGTAGTGAGAGTCCAGCATGGAGTCAAGGATTTCTGAAGAAACTTCAGTGTTTCATTACCCTGGACTTTTAATTATTTTCCATAAATGCCTTGACTTGCCTCTCAAAATATTTTTTTAACAGAGTTAAAACAACTGATGGAGGTCAGAGCCAATTATGCCAGAATCCTAAGGCAGCAGGGCCCTGAAGCCACAGACATCGTGGTGTCTCCACCCGAGAAGCTGCAGTCTCTGGTACATCGACTCAATTTCTAGCAGAGCCATCATATTTTGTGCTGTATTTTGCCTGTGTAGCCTATATATGTGTACTAGTATACTTGCTTTGATGTGATTATTATTCATCCTTTTTAATTTTTTAATCCTTACCCAATAATATGTTTTTATTGAGAGAGAGAGAGGCATTGATATGAGAGAGAAACATCAATTGGTTGCCTCCTGTAGGTGCCTGGACCAGGGATGGAACCCACAACCTAGGTGTGTGCCCTGACCAGGAATCGAATGCATAACCTTTTGGTGTAGGGATGACACTACAATCAACTGAAACACCCAGTCAGGGCCATCCCCCGCCCCCTTTTTAATCTTTATTGTTGAAAGTATTACAGATATTCCCTTTTTTCCCCATTGACACCCTCTACTCCCGTACCCCCTCCTGCATTATTGTCTGTGTCCATGGGTTATGCATGTATGCATAGAAGTTCTCTGGCTAATCTCTTCCCACCCCTCCCCATCCATCCTTTTTAATTTTATGCTGTCTCTCTCTTTAAAAAGCTATTACCTTTACATTTTACGTAGGGCAGCATTTGACTCCTCAACCCTATTCCTGGAAAGGGAACAGAACTAGACAAAGTAATGCCAGTAAAATAACTATTCTAAGTATATTTTCTTCCAGGAAAAAAGAAAGAAGACTACTAGTTACTATTGAAAAATAACTTAGTGGTGTCAAGTTTTATTTATATTTAAATAATAAAATAGACTCTTTGACCACCTACCATTAAATTTGACCCAGACTGACGTTTTTTCTGGCTCAGCCACCATATTTTCCAAATCTCCATGTTAAAATCCTGTATTTACTGAATGAAAAGGAAATGGCTGGTAGCCACTGAATGCCACGTCGTGAGTCAATCTTTCCTCCTCCAATTTCCCCTGGGTTTGGCCTGTAGGAACAGTGTAGGACTATATAGGGCACGGCTCTATGTTGTGCACAAGAGTGAAGCTGCATAATTGCGGACATAAGCTCAGTAACCAAAAGTCATGGACTGTGTCCTTGATACAGAAACTCTGGGAGAGGCTACATGCACTATTTGAAGAAAAAGTCATGGAATGATTTTTTTTTAATAGCAGGGTCAAGGAAAATTCTTAGCAATCTTAGGTGTCAGTTTCTTCCTGCGTTGATGAAAGAATCATTTTTTAAAAATAGCAGTGACAAATCAGAGTTCGGTTTCCGGTCTGGGTAGAACATTTCCAGAGAAATGCTCTTTTTCGCTCTCTTCCTCTGAAAGCCACTCACAGCTCTGTCTGAATATAAATTGCAGCCTGGCTAGGTGTGTACAGAATGGCTCAGCTGGGCTCACTCCTCCATCCACCACTTTAATGTGATGCAGGGAGGCAGTAGATCATCTCTGCTGAAGGGGGCTCTGGGTAACCGCTGCAGAAGGCCCAGTATTTACTCCCTGTCTTCAAGTCAGTGGGGCTGCAGGAATAAATTGCTGCCGCCTCCAACCCCGCTAAAAGCAGAGCACAGTGAGGTGAAATTTCCCGTGTTACCTCCACAGCAATTTGCCCTTTTGCAGACATTTTCTCTACATACAGTGGATGTTAGAGATGTGAAGGCATTCCAGAACAGCTTTGTGGAGCATAGAAAGAGAATATTGCATTTTGTTTTGTTGTTGTTCTTCTTTTTTTTAAAGAAAGTTCAAACAAGAAGGGTTAAGAAATGCACTCCCAGTTATGAAGTAGGCTAACAAGATTCTTTTATGTTTACTAATTTAAATTTTTTTCAATTACAGCTTATAGTCCATATTATTTTATATTAACTTTAGGCGTATAGCATAAAACCAACAGGATTCTTAACCTGCTGAGCCCCTCCTTAGAATGACAGGATCACAATCCTCATAGTCACAGAGCATTTTATGTTTTTTCAAAATATCTTGAAAACAAAGGCATTTCTCTAGGAGCAAAAGTACCTATCATTTTGCTGCCACACATAAGTTGATTTGCAATGAAAATGGCATAATTTCAGCCTAGATCAAATGTGCAAATTCCTGTGAAGTCTTCACTGTGGCACGTGAATACGCCTGAAGCGAAAATTGGTAATATCACACAATGCGTATCAAGTACCAGGAGACATAAGGCAAGACTCTGCACTGAACTTTCCTATTACTAGTAAATGGGATTTTAGATGTAATATAACAGTCATCAACACATCACACTCCACCAGCAAGGCAGCAACACTGGCTTCGTTGACGACGGCTTGTCTAGCTTAGACTAAGGCCAGCCCTGTTCTTTCTTTATTACTGACCTTCCTCTTTGGTTGGCTGGAAGGTGGACTGGGGAGCAGTTACCCCACCTTCAGCAAAGACTCTGGGATAAGATGACTGCAATTCTGTTCAGCCCTCCTAGGCTTTTAATAAACCCAGTAATTTCCTTTGGGGCCATGTTTATCAAATTTGAATCAGCCTCATATGTATAAGTCACATTTCAATATTTTTCTATCAACTGGAAACCATTTATTATTAAAGACTATAGCAACCATCCTCAAGTCCATGGCTTTCTCCAGAAATGTATTTCCTGCTGGTTCTCAAACACCCTTAAGGTGATCCAGATGTGATGAAAAGGCAGATCAGCATTGGTGATTGTCCTGGGGGGAAGAACTTTTCTAGATGTTTCTGCCCTACTCTAGCTTTGGTTGCCTGGTGAAGTGTTGGAGTGAAGTTGTATGTTTCTATGCAAGTGAACTAAAACCAATATGGCTTTTGACAGCCATTCTGAGATTAACCAACAGCATTTATAAGTAAGGATCATTTTATCTGGGTGCTTATATCAGCTTTATAAAACAGGACACATCAGTAATGAATCAAAATGCAGAGGTAGTTTCTTAAAGCAGTAACCTTGAATTTCCTTTTTTTTTCTTGATTGTTCATAAAAACTAAATATTTGTTTGCGGGTCAAGAGAACAAAGCAATAAACAAACAACAAAAGGTAAAGATACACCTGTTCTCTTTTAAGAGAGAACCACTTAGAAATTTCGGCCAATAGCTGTTGCAGCATTTGTGTGCTAACCTTTAATAATAGCCCAGGTGTGCTGAGGGCCATTGAGATTTGCGATGGACCAAGGCAGCACATTTTTCCTGGCATCATTTGGAAGAGAGCGATCAAAACCCACAAGTCTGCGTTATTCAAGGACATTACAAAATCCGATGCAAATGTCCTGGGTTAAGTGGAATTTGGACCCAGTGGCGCTCCTCGGTTGTTTTTATTACATCAGTGTCTGCAGTTCCCGCCTGCCTCTGAGCACATCTCAACCCCTCCTCATAGGTGAGCAGAAAGAACGAGCAGCAGTTTTGTTCTCAGCACAATAAACTAGAATTCGGCGTAAATGACATGGTTGGGGCTGCTTGGCCAGAAGCAACTGCAGAGCAAGATCAACAAAAACCACTCAGGAGAGGGCTGATGAAAGAAGTGGACCGGCCGTGGACCGTGGGTGCTCAGTGGGTGCCTGCTGCCCGCTCTCATATTTTCTAATTCTTCCCGTCTGTGATGTGACACTACTATCCATAGGCTGTCACCCTGCACCATATGTGCAAATGGAAATATATGAGGAGTGAGGAAGTGCTTACATCCATGGTGCAACTGGGTCGGGGGAGGGAGGAAGAAAGGAGACAGGAAATTATATTTATACGGCAAGGAAAATGGTGATTCTGAATCGGACGTGCTATCACTCATTATCTGCGGTATCCTGTGCTGGTTTATGGATAGATACAAGGTGCAGTCAGCTGCTGGCTCCATTAGGTCCTGGCTTATCAGTCCTAGTGTGTCCAACTTAGGAATTACTATTGGTGTGTTGGCCTGGGTGAGGATGTGTCAGGGCCAGCCTGACAAGGTTGAGCCGGGCTGAGGCAGGGAGGTGGGAATTGAGAAAAGAAAGAAAGACAGGAAAGCGGGATCGGGAGGACTCCAGTTCTCTCGATGAACTGAAGCAACTTTATTAGCCACACAATCCTATTTATACATAACACACTGAATAGGAGGTCTGTCAAGAGGAATGTATTCTTTGTTCCTCTTAATCTCTAAGGGAGAGACACAGCAGAAGGACAAGTTCTCAGTACAGCATATCTCAGTAAATAGTTACAGACTTCTTGGTAAGCTATGAAAGGCTGTTCTCATTCTACAAATGTTGCTCTCATTCTACTGATAATCGCCATCCAAACAAGTCTGGGAAAACTGTGGGTAAGGGTCCCAGCCTTGCTAGCCCCTTCAGGTGCAAGGACCTTGCCAGCTTACATCCGGCCCCCAACAAGGATGGTCAATAATGTCAGCTCTGTCAGACCAACTGAGGCAGCTGCCAGTCATCTCTAGGTGCCACCACCAGCAACTGTTATAAAGGAAAGTGCCTAAAGGCACACTCTCCTTAAATAAGCCTGCGGACTGAGTTGGAAAGGAATGGAGGAGAGGAGGGACCCCAAGAAATGCCAGGGTTAGCACCCCGCAAAGCATAAGATTTTATTATATTGCTTTTTAGATTTCTACCACACTCTTCCTTCCTGTCCTCTTCCTCCTCACCTTTTGACTTCTCTCTTCAGTCTTCCTTGCTTTTCTCTTCTAAGGACTTTTAAATCCCATCTTTTATCTTAAAAACAATCGTTCCTGAGCCATTCGTGGGTCAGCAAGAATGCTTCCTTCATATGCTTCTCAAAGTTTAATGTGTGCACAGGTGTGATAAAACACAGAGTCCCAGACTCGAAAGCAGAGATTTTTATTTGGAGGTGGGACAGGTAGTTTGCATTCAACGAGCCTCTGGAACAGAGAGCGGTAGCTGACCACACTTGAGAAGCCCACCCAGGAGTTCTGTGCCCCCCAGCTGGGCGTGGCCCAAGCGCTAAGTATGGTTTCAAGAGCCCTATGGACACTGTTATTCTCATGTTCAGAGGTTATGAAGGCAAGCACTTGCTTCTTTGTGTAAGAGTCTGAGTCTAAATGTCCTCACGTTTACTCATCACCATTTCCTTGAGAAGTAATGGAAATGTCCTTGTGTCCAG